GTCAATGTAATACCACTTTTAAGCATTGCTTAAATAATATAAAAAATGTTTCTTATATTCCAAGGTAATATTGAATTGTATAAGAAACAATAGTTAATAACAATACAATCAAGATTACACAGAAATTATTTGTGTAATAACAGTCTTTCAAAAGAAATACACTATATTCTTGCTGACTTGTTAATGTAGTAAATGTCCAATATTATTACTTGTTTAAATCATTTTACAATATATATATGATTCTTTTAATTTATTTATCTGATAATCTTATTCTGACATTCTGTTTATGATATAAATAAAACTGTTTATTTTGATTTGATTTATTTAAGGATGTAATGTGTTAGTTTACTATGAAATGAATAGAATTCCATTTTTTTAAAAGGAGATATGAAGATCTAAATGACAAATTAAAGCAAACAAACAAGAATGAATGACTGATTTAACTACAGATAAGTAAGACAAGTTTTCAAACAAAAAATCATATACACATTTTCATGTTGAAGCATATAAACTAACACATACAACATCATACATATATAGTATGTACTCATTATTTATCGTTAATACAAACAAACTACGATTACTTTGATGAATAATAATACTGTTTCATTTATTCTGAATGAAAAATAATTTAAACATCATGATTGATTGGTACTGTTAAAGTAAGTACACACGGATACACGGATACATACATCGAAGTTTGTATGAAGAACAAAAATCAATTCACCAAATACCAGAAATAAGCAACGAAGGAAGTGTTTTTCAAAATGATATCCGTCAATAGGCTGTTTGTTTTATTTTCCTCGGCATATATATATATATAAACAAATGAATAAATCAATTATACACTTAACTGATACAATTAATAAACCAAACTACATTAAAGAATTAAATAATCCATTATTTTATCTTATTTATTATAACACTTTTATGATTTGAATTATTACAGCGATCAAGGTTACAGACATTCTTTAATGAATTTTCACATGAACTCAAAAGTGATTATATAATCATATATATATGCCAAGTCTCACTGTAGGAGAGTAGAAAACCAGAGATTGTTATGTCATTGTTTATTCAAAATTCTAATAGTTAGTTTTTATTTAGTAATGAGTATTTCTAAGAAGAAATGTCCTAATATCATGATAAGACTAAAATAAACTCTGGAACATTTTATATCTGCCTAAATCTGAAAACAGTCTGATCACAGTACATTGTATGAGAGATGAAATTATCCACAGAAAAAAAGAAGACTAATGATTAATTTTAAAAAAAGTGATGTTTTAGCGAAGAAAATACAATCATACAGTTTTGGAAAATGAGATCATTCTTCGCTAAAACCTCTTAATTCTTATCCACAGAAGTAAATATTGATTCTTGTTAGTTAGTTTTCTTTTGTTTTACAAAAAAAGGCTTCTGATCTTGAATAAAAACATACAAACAAATTAGACTTCATAGATATAACCAAAGCTCTGAGTATATAATTACAATATTTATGATACTTTCATATTAAAAGACTAGTATTTGAATGGACAGTATTCTTTTCGATAAATTCTCATCAGGTTCTACAATTATCTATCCAAATTAATAATCCGAAAAAATGGCCAGGTTAAGGGCAAAATACATCGTTTAGAGCATGTGAATTTAGGATTGTGATAAACAAAATACAATAAAATTGTTCATGTTAATATGACTCATATAGAATGTTAACTTGAATCTGCATATAAGTGAAGTGAATTTTTTTAAGATCCATGATCAGAATAAATATGGGTCAAATAGGGTGAGAAAGAAATAATAGTGCAATGACAATTCGGTCAAATGTTTGATGGAAGGCGTACTAAGGAGGGATGAATGCGAAGTGAATAAATCAGGTATAGGAGAGATTAATAATGTTTAACCAATAATACGAATAATAATAATAATAATAATAATAATAATAATAATAATACAAAGATTTATGAATAAAGATAACAGGGACAATTACAATTGACTACGAAAGGTCATAATCAAATTAGGTCATTCAATAGTTAAGATTACGATTGATTAATTGGCCTTGATGTTGGCCAGGGGAGGAGGAGTGGCTGAATATATTTCTTCTGTACGCATAGCTCCGGTTTCTTCATCCGGATGGCTACTGCTTCATATTAGTGTATTCAACTTAAACTTAGAAATTACGAACTTTTTTTTGGTGATCGAATAAAAATAAATTGCCATATCTATTAGCTGTGAAATGATTCAAATCCTAATCATAAAGTGCTGATATCTAGAGATGGTGGAGAAGATTTGTAGCTCAGGTGGATGATTTCGGTGGAGTTTTGTTCTCTGAGCTGGATGGTTTGGTCGTGGAGCTTTCATCGTTCTTCTGAACGACATCATCTGAAGTTTGTGCTGATGATGTCGTTCAGAAGAACGATAAAAGCTCCACGACCAAACCATCCAGCTCAGAGAACAAAACTCCACCGAAAAAAGTGCTGATATCTAACTGATAAATAGAAAATCTGGGTTCACCTTTCCTAATAAATCAATCGATTTAGCTATCTAAGCACTTAAGTTTTATCATATCCTCTTCCGATATTATTGTTATTAAGATCACCATTATTATGACTACTTTATCGCACATTTTTCGGTAACTATTAATAATTTTATTATTTCGTTTGATCATAACAACTTGCAAGTTCCTCTTATGTTTGATTACGTCATGATCTCTCTCTCACATGCAAACTTATTCCATAGTGCTATAAATTCTACTTTTTATAAACATGGAAAGTAAACGTAGTCATTTTTCATTACTAGACCAAATGTTTTTATGCATGTTACTCAAAAAATCACAATTGTAGAACACTATTTGGTTTTACAAATTATTGTGTATGTAGAAGATTTAGGGCAGACGAAGTGAAATGTGTTCACTTCATCCTACAATTTCGTCTGTTTTACGAACGTTGTACACATCTAAAAATACTATGCAATTCATCAACGACCATAATAGAAATGTTTTATTACCTGTAATAAATCGGTCAGTGGTTATGCATGCGGCCTGCTTGAGCATCTGGGCTACCTGTTCCTGCCATCTAGATATTTCAACAAGTTATCTATTGTTGTTTGTTTTAATATATCATTATGTTTATTAATCGCATAACCTATTCTGCTGCGTTTCTGAAAAGTGTACAACCTTTCGTTGTCAAAGTTACAGAAAACTCAATAAGAGACCATATGGTTGCTGGCAATGTACAACGAAAAGAATGTACATTATTCAGTTGTTCATTCACTGAAGTGCTAACATCTAACTGGCGATTCCTCAATATTTATCGCCAGGACCGACCAAGAAGAAAGAAACGGAAACTTGTTGAAATACTTTGCGCTGAGAATTCTATATTGTACCAAAATTATAATATTGAATAAAGCTAATAATAATAATAATAATTCATAATCACAAAAACCTAATTTATTCTCAATAACGTTTGCACTCAAGTCATTAAACACATATGTGATGACATAATTTTGATTACACGGACTACAAATCAAAAACCTCAGTTTTTACTTATTAGAAAGTAGATTCTGTATTGTGTGGTTGGAACTACATTTCCACTGGTTCAAGAGGGAACGGACAGAAGACAGTGTAGTGAGAGTTAACCAAGCACATTTTACAACCTGTAGGCTGCACCACAGTTACTTCGTTATGATTGAACACGACTGGTATATAGATTAAATTTCATTGTTTTACAGGTACTCATGCTCAAAATGAAGACAGATAAGTGTCAAATATTACATGTAAACAATGATAGAAACATTATCTGAACTGTGTATTGCAATTAATTCAATATCGACACCACAAATAAACGTTCCAATGGTAGTTCTTAGCTCAGAGTTCAGTTTAATGAATAAATAGTTTTAAAATAAATGTAAAACGCTTATTCATCATCAAACTAAGAACAATCCTGCTTATAATGTGACTATATTCTCGAATCAGAATTGTCTCTCTTGGTCTGCTAAAGAACGGTGTGTACTGAAAAGGACAGTATACTTACTCATTAAACTATAGTTTTTCTAATCACAGGCTGATCCCAAAATGTCCTGAACCCCTACTCAGCTTATTTAAGATGTCTTATTTTTAAATAAACTTATGAAAATACATCAGAAAACAGTTTTATACGAAGACCCAACAGATGAATATCAGTTTAAAATCGCTAATTTTATACACTGGATGTAATACTAATTTAAACATTGATTCTTATTTCACTAAAAAATTTCATGCCTTTGCTACTGCGCTTTCGTATTCATTCCAAGTGAACAGAATGCAGTGCTCGTATTATGTATGAGGGCATCTTAGTTGTAAGGAAATCCATAATAGCTTGTTAATATTCTTAGTTCCCACTCACACAAAAATGTAGATCGAAACTGAATACATAAACCAGTGATTTACTGGATTAAATATTTAATTTTGCATGACTTATAAAGTATGGAACAAAAATCAAATCGGACAAAATCACAAGAGATCACGATAAACATTTTGTGAAACAATTAAACCAACTTATCTACGTTGCCAAAAATCAAATACGTTGGCAGATTTGTGAAAACTACATTGATTTACACCTCCAACATAACTTATATCAGGAAGAGTAAGCAGTTAGCATGTTTTCTCATTCAACTGAGGTCTACAGTGAATAGGCGGACTCAGTGTCGCTGACTCGATGTATTTTAAGTACTCCACAATTATACTTTTAACAAAAACCCTTCACAAGATGATTGATAATCCAACGTTATAGTTTGGATCATGCACCAAGAACTAGATGCTACTATCTCGAATTCGATTAGTGAAGTTACGTCATAAATATACTACGTAAGTAGTAAATATTCAGCTACAACTATTTCCCTTTACCAATAGGATTATGCAAAATACAACGTTCCATGATTTACTTTACTCCGCACTCAACATGAATTTCTAATCCACAAGAAATAATAATCAAGTTTACGAAACGTTAAATAGAATTAAAACACCAATCGATGGAACACAACTGTCTTTTAACTGGTTTCATATTAAAGAAAATACAGAAAAAAAGACTAATATTTTGGTTACACTAAAATTTGCTGTATAAAAAACCTACTTGACAAACAGCAAAAGATTGTGTAAAATAAGCTATCTTAAGTGTAAAAAAGAGATAAAAAACATTTCTCCTAGAGAAAGAATGAGAGAGGAGATAATGGTTGACAAGCGTTGAGGTAAATATGACATTATGGTGTAAAAAAGAAAATTCTAGTCGTTCATCCTCTGGATATTCTTTTTTTTTGAAAGAATATATGATACATCATAATATGTCTAAAGATTGTAGGAGATTATTATTTTTCACAGTATAATAAAACATGAATATGAATACACATTTGCCTGTCGAGGAACATTTATATTTTCAAAATCATTTAATGTGATTGTTTGCGTAAGCTGGTTAATTTACTAATAAATCAATGTGTAGGTTTGTGCATTTATCCGTACGGTAGCCTATTTGTTGAACATAGTGTTTAGACGTGTGTGTTTGTATGTGTTACATGGCAACAACAACAACAACAACAAATCAATATAAACAACCCAACATCAACAAGGGTAAAAGAATGTAATATGTATCTATGCGCTTATCCCATAAAAGGTTAAGTCTTGTTAACTATTAAAACGAGGTCAAATATTGATATATAGATATATCACAGTTGAATAACATATTTGGTAAAAAAAAAGAATACTATTTTTTTATTAAGAAAAATTGTACTTGAAAACAGTTTTACTTTACTTATCCGATTGATAAATGGAATAGGAACATAGAAGAAAAAGATTTAAGAAATAATTTAATACAGTTTTAATGTACATTCACAAAAATGTATTCTAACAAGAAATACTACTAAAACTTAGCGTTATTAGTAGACATCGAAACACAACCATGATAAGAAAAAAAGGTTGAATTATATCAAAATAAATGAAGAAATATATATAAAAAATATGGAAATTTAATATAATTCATTTAAATGTCCAGCATGTTCTTCTAAACACTTTAAATGTGTATCAATTTTTTGTTCTAATAACATGGAATGCTTTTGTTCATCCACTAAAAATTGTGCAGCTAAATTATAAACATTTGTATCTTCTTCATTTAAACTATTATGATTAATTTGAGAGTGGTATAATGATATTGATGATGATGGTGATATGAATGTTGAACAATATGATGGTAGATGAAGATTTGACTTCTTTTCAAATGATGATGACTGTTCCTAGAAATCAATAAAAAAACATTAAATGAATTTGGGGGAAAACAAGTAAACCAAAATAAACAACTGATGATTTTGCAATGAGTAAATATTATTTGAGAAAATTAATGATTTATGTCATTTGTTCAGAGATAGGTTTTAAAGATAGCTAAACTGAAAACTATGATCGAGAAATGTATATGTATTGGTTATTTGAATCTTCCCGATGATGTGTCAAGACTAATTAATCAAACCCCATCTCATCGCACAATTCAGCAGCTATCTGGACTCAGCAACTAAGTGGGTAACGTAATGGCGTTTGGAGCGAACGGTAGTGTGTTCAAGTCCCGGGGTGAAAATCAATTCAGGGATGCAAGTACATCCGGCTGATGAGTCCCAAATAGAACGGAACATGTGTCCTGGATTTTACTAATAATCACCATCCATCTCCATGATCGAGTGTTTGAGTGACTAGGTCAGGATTTTAACATAATAGATAGATAAATACAAAAAATAATCATATAGAAACAAGTAATTGGTCATGGAGCAGTAACCATGGTGTTTAGTCCCTAGTGCTGATCGAATTCTATTGGTTAAGCAACAATATAGTAAGTAGGCTAAGTAACTTGATATCGCCCAGTACTATATTTTACGCTAGCTTTCTGAAAGCAAAGCTATAGATCTACATTTTGTCCCAGATAGCACCTATCGCCAAGGTTCATCAGTAGTTTTCAGGGACCGGATGCTATATGTTCATTTAAAATCCTCATAAACTAAATGTTCGCCAAAAAGAAAGCTAGGTGTAGTACAGTCATGACAACCTAGAGGCGTGGCCGCTGAGCCCAGACGACAACTACACGGGACCGATCACACAGCTTTTTTCTGATTAGTTTTTGATATTTAAGCTCCGTAATTTTAAAACCTTACTGTTAGTGGCCGCAATCAGTGCGGCAACATGAAGTGTGGCATTTTTAAGGCCTAATTTTACTAACCCTTTCGTTCCGTTGTAGGAAAGAAGCATCACCACAGATAGCTGTTGTCACAGAGGAATACCGTACTGTCGTCACATCTCTGCAGTCAGTCGTAGACCTTTGCTCTCAAAAGCTAAACTTGCTGTTTTTACTTCTACAGCTATTTGATTGACGTACCTGAGCATAATAGGATCCAAAGAAACTAGTGTTCCAGTCGATATAGCTCAGATGAGTTATCGAGATAAACAAGACCGATTCGTTAAGTCAAGGTAATGGCCACAGTCTGAATTCTTGTAGACATAGCTTCACTTTACATAAGTAGATATTGAAGTCAAAGCAAACAAGAATGACACAAACAAGTTAAGGACATGAATAACATAAAAGAGAATACAATTACAAGAAGATTATTATTAAAAAAGATTATTAAACATAAAACAACTACTTTCAAATCAAGTCACTTAAAGTTTTCGACTATTATTTTCTATTATCTTGTTAAATTTAAACAGAATGCTTACCAATAAAAGATTGTGCTTATTCTGATGTGTAAAATGAAAATGAAAAGAAAAAGAAGCAAACTTTGAATCGTTTGAAATGATTGGAATAAGTCCTATCTTTCTTCTTTACAAAATGCTTTAATTGTCAAGAATCTAACATGTATAGACTAAATTAATTTGGAACTTATATTAAGTATTTTATCAAAATGATATCAATGATAAACATGAAGTAATAACTTAAAAACTGTTTTACAAGGACAATTAAGTCATTAATTTTAATCAATAATTTGTTGTATAATTAACTAAAACATCATATTTTATTATACTTACTTCATTTGACAAATTCATTGATTGATAACAATGAAAATTTATATCTGATTCAACAAATGTACTATCTTGCGTGAAAACAGAGAAGTGTGGAACACATGTGGAGACAATTCTAATTGAATCAGTAGAATAATTCAAACATGAATTTGGAAATGATTCAATAATAGTTTCATTGATTTTGGCGAATTTTGATGTTTCAGAAACTGGTGAATTTAACGTTAATAGTGTGGGTTCTAAAACAGCAGCATAGTCATGTTTATCTAAACTGTGAATTTTAAGAGTAAAAGATAACCATTGAAAAATTATTAAAATCATTTTTTGTGAATTTACAGTAAACAAAAGGAACTGACTTTACTAACTATGTTCAACGAGCGGTTTTAAACTTATGGTGCGATAAGAATGACAGAATATTTACCAAATATTAAGTATACAGAATAATCTATTTCAATATAACTTACCAAACACAGGTTTATGTACTCCGCGCTTTGAACCACACTTTTTATACTAGGGCTAGTGATACTATCTGGCTAGCCAAAGTGAGGTAGTCAAGCCAGATTTCATACTTGTGACTTAGTAGTTGACAGTTGAGTACGTTAACCACTAAGTTGTCGTTCCACAGACTATTGAAGTTATGTTTTATAACTGCGATACAGCCACTGGGCACAGACCACAGAGAAGCTATGGATGAGAGTAAAGTAACCTATAAGATTTAAGGAAATTACACCGCGAGTGACCTACTGCAATACTGAAGCTGATTTATCAATCAACAATAATCGATTTCGTGTTGCATATTTCTTAGTGTTAATCAAATCAAATCAGTTAGGTTGAACAGTATCTACTAATCTAAGTGGTTTGATATCTCGTGTACTTAGTCTGAATTTAAGGTACTTAGAGTTAATCTTATCCCAATCGGTAATATCCACCAACTATGACTATGTAATTCAAACAAAATATGTAAATATCAGATAATGTAATATATTTTTTATAACGTTTTATATATTATAAAAGTATTCACGAACTAGAATCACGATTATCATAGATCAACTAAAGGTGAAAATAGAGACCAATAAAACATAGACACCTTCTAGTTAAATGGATCTAGAAATCTTAAATTCAATCTCACATGAAGGAAGAGTGTGTGTGAGAATTCTGATCAACTGTTTCAAACTTGAATGAAACAGTTTCGTGGAATTAATGAGTTGTGGGCAGCAGTGGGATTCAGAACACATGTTCCATAATATTTAAGACTCATCAGCAGGATAGATGGATATACGAGTATTGATGTCCCCGTTAGTACTCGAACAGAGTACTTTCCCGATTTAAATACTAACAAGCTATACACTGAGGTACATAGTCGAGATGGTTACTTGATTGTCAAATAGATATATAAATATTAGTAAGAAGGTGCTATTATATTCAAGATTAAACCTTGATCAGTCTTCTGAAACTCGGTCATGGAAATGGATGGAATAATTCAAACGTTTGTTAATAATGATATAGATGAAACGGTTGTGTAAAATCCTCCCTAACGTATGAGAATTCTCAATCTGACACAACATCGTCATTACGAAAAACACTCACAGCAGGGATAAACAATACGTGAGCTAAGGAGAAATAAGCTAATCAAGAGAATATAATACGAGGTATGAAATAAAAGAAAATTATTGAAAACAACTTATTTTATTATTTTTCACTAATACACATACAGATAAAAGTTTTGGGAAATTAGTTATTCCCTTTAAGAACATTGCTCAAGATTATATATATGACATCAACGTAGCGAAATAAAAGATATGATCGGGCGCTTAATTTAACAGTACAACTAACAAAATGTGGACGTGAAAATTATATACTGATTTCAAAAATATCCAATCCTGGTTATGCATTTTTCAATATTAACTAATTTGATGTATGAATGGAGAAGAAACCATATTTCTGTAAACAATCCATTTATTTCAAATATTCTATGTATGACCAAATATTGTTTACATGAATAAATGTTAAGAGTTCTTAGTTTTGACCTTGTAAAATGCAATGTTATCCGAAAGATGAAAGGATAATACAAACATATATTATTTAGAAAAACTACTTATTCTAGCTTAGTAATAAGTAATGGTGACGATAGTTATAGAAAGTAAACGTGAATATTCTGTTCTGCAGCTCCCATCAGACATAAAACAAAAAAACTACTTCTACACTATTACACTTTATTGTGCTTAGCATCTTGTAAGTCGTGTAATCCTACTTCTTTATGAAGTATAAGTTGTAATCTAAGCTTTATCCACTATAGAATTCATGGATTCATGTGAATACTTCAATCGAGATTGCTAAAACAAAAATTATATTTATGTTTCAATACTTAATCTAAAGAAAATATTAATAAGTTAGCCAGTAGAACCTGCCATGAATACGCATCGGTTCATGTTTCCAAAACTTAAATCAATTCTACCAAGGGAATAAGAAGAAAATAGAAGGGAATAGTATAAAGTACAACCTAAACATGAACAGGAGAAATACAGTTTTTAAAAAGACGAATGAGATCTCAGAAGAAAACATTTAAGGATGACACAAGACTTCAGAAATAGAAAAAGGCTGAGAATAATTGCAACAGTGCCACAGCAACCGATTGAGCGTCTTATCACACAAAGTAGTCAACGGCAAGTTACAACTATTATACGATCCAGGATCAAGAATCTCGTATACATTAACATAACTCATACTATTCATTAATGACTTGATGAGGTAAAACTATGTTTAAATATGGCAGCTCTAGGTTTTTTCATACTTACTCCTTTATTAATCAGAACTGCACATTGTGATAAGCGGAACAAAAACAGAGTAACTCCTTTTAGATACACTCTACAAAATTTTATTTTATTTGAATGCAACTTACTAAGTGCCGATTTTTATACTCAACTATGAGTTAACTGCTTTTTGTAAGAGCTGAAGATACCACCCAGTTGTTCGAATTGAAATAGATTATTTTAACCTTACAACAAAATACTTATTTAAAGTTAATTGCTTTAACCGCCTTACCATTTATAGCCTTACTTCCGAGTGTAAATTTCTAATGCTAAAAAGTTAGTGAAATTTATAATTATTATTAGTACGATCGGTTGAAAAAGACTGAACTGAACAACATTCTAAGTAACTTACTCAATTAATCCATTTTCGTTTGAATTGATATCATTATTATTATCATCCAAAAATTTAACTGAGGGTGACAACAATTTAAAGCGTGCCGATGGTATTGGTTTACATGATGCAACAACATCAGATTCACCGGGTGGGAAAATTTGTTTTCCATCTTTATTTTTAAACATTTTGTTTGGTGTAATTTCTATTGACTGTTCAGAATTTTTAGATTCGTTACAAACATCCGTAGAGTTAGCAAGTAAATTGATGTTACTGTGAAAATCTTGTTTGAAATTCGGACAGTTTTTGTTTCCTTGATTAATTTGAGCCTGAGAGTGATTGACTTCCATTTCAATTTGCTTATTGACTAGATCTACTGGAGCGTTAACAGTTTTACGATGGATATTACTATTTGATTGATTGATAAATAGTGTTGAATTAAGATCAGCACAATAATTATTAGGTATTTTATTCAACTCTTCCGTATTTGTTAATGAGTTGGACGAAGTGAGATTTGTCTATTAAGAAATAATTGAATGGAGGATAACAATTTTTGAAAATTAATGTTATTAAATAAAATTAAACGAACTGAAAACCCAACTAGAATATCGAAAGTAAAGGAAAAGATATTTCGAAATAACATTTTACCACGAACACCTACAGTTATCAGTAGTATATTCGTAAAGAAGCAGGTAATTAACTTGAAAACGAAAAGGTAGAATCCATGACAGAAGTTCGTATTCATTCACCGATCATATTACCAAGGATAATCAATAGACAATACAACTAAATTGATGTACACTTTGGAAACTGCAGTGTACTATAAATTATTTTTAATGGAATAAAACATCAAGATGTTAATCAAGTCAAAACATTCCGGATTTAAACCTATTAAATAGATTCCGTTATGTTCACAGTGAGAGGTAGATGACCCTGTATAACAGTTTATATATGTGTTCTTAAGGAATTTCAAAGTGAGACACAAAAGGTGTTCAGACAAGTTTGCTGAACGAAACGTTGGAATTATTTAACTTTCAATCTCTGAGATTATTTCAAAAATAATATTCACATATAATAAATCTCCACCATCTCAAATTATATTACTTTAACACATAATCAGTAGTAAAAATCAATTGACAAAATTGTGCCTAATGAAGTTCCTGAAGAAACGATGAGTCAAATGAATGTGTAACTGTAACTCTCCCACAAGAACTGCTTTTACTTTATTGAAAACACTCTTGACTTAGTTTTAGATAACTTTGATTTCTGGTTTAAAATGACAAGAATAACAAGAATTGTAATACCAGTAGGAGTTGTGATAGCAGCCTATATCATTTTACCTGAATTTCAATAGCTTTTGTTCACTTAGTTACAAGAAAGCATTAGTTAAAACACTATTTTATAGGGCAGAAAGAATATGTACCACTGAAAAACTGGAATAAGAATTGATGGGAGTGGAAAAATGCCTACGAGACAACTTTTACCCACAAAAGTTTATTGACAAGTATAAAAAGCGTAAAGAAAACAATACTGAAGTAATTACTGTCAATAAAAAACCAATAACTATAAGTCTTAACTTCAAAGGTGATGAGGTTGCAAAGACAATCAAGAGGAGACTGAGTACTGCGCTAGCCAGAACTTATCCGGCGGCCAAACTTCAAATTCTGTATAAAACAACATGCTCAATAACTCAATCAAAGGTTGATAAGCATCCTTTTCATGTTACCGCCAATTGTATTTATAAATTTACGTGTACCTTCCAAAGCAGCTACATTGGCCGAACAGAAAGGAGGGCATATCTCAGATTTTTTGAACATGTTCCAAAAAGCCCCAGAACAAGAGAAAGAAAGACTCTAAACAGTAAAATCACCAAACATCTCCTTGATACAGGACATCAGGTTGATACCCTACAATCATTCAAGGTGATTAGTAAGCAGCCAAACTCTAGTCTTCTGGAGTTTGCTGAAGCAGTTGCTATCAGGCGCCAAAAGCCTGATTTATGTGTGCAAAAGGAGATGGTTATTAATCTTTTCTTGCCTTGGTGATTAATATTCCTTCGTTATATCTTAATATTTTTTCTTTTCTTTAAACTCTTTCTTGCATTTATTACACCATTGAGTTTTATTCCAACTATCTTATTTTATCAACTGAACTCTACTCATTTTATTCCTATCAATGTTTACTTGTTTCTAGCCGTTTGAACTGTTGTCACAATGTTCTTTCATCACATAAGGTATATATTTACAATATTCAGTCTATTAAATTTATTTACACCCTTGCTATACTATACGAATATGTCTTCAATATAACTTCCAATCAAACTCTTTCATGTAAGTAATTTAAACCCATTAATTATGATTTTAAATACCACAGGTTGTAAGCAGCTGACGAGAACCAACGAAATAAAAATGAATTCATGCTATTCTGCTAGAATGTTTGTTCTTGCTCTTTTCAAAATGATAAAGGGAACTATGTGTATGTCATTTTAAATTGTTGTAACACTGCAACCAAATAGAATAATTATATTTTAAGTGGGAAAAACACTTGCATAGTCACATACATATTTTGATGATTCGCAGATATGACAAAATATACGGTTCTTATATTTCATATGTGTTAGCGGGACATATATTGGATTAAATCATGCTCAATGCACACGCTGATTGACTAATTCTTATCCAATCAGCGCTGGTCGATACTTGGAGAATACTCTAGAAATCTTCTCATGTAAAAACTATAAATATACTAACGTTTTTCCTATTGTGCTTCTTACTTAAATATAACCTTTTTATTTGGAATATAATCTCTTTCCTTTCCAACCGTGTTCTGATTTGAGGACTTGTCGAGTGAATTAGTGTCCGAAAATACTAAGCAATAGAAATAGGTGGGTTGTAATAAGAGAGAATTATAACAATATGCGATCACTTGCCAAAGAGAATTTATTCAATAGTAAGCACTTATGAAAAGATAAGTGTAAATGGATTATTGATAAAATTATTCGTCAAATCATGCTTTAATTTCTTTCTCGAGAAAAATTCCATCAGTAAAGAACGTTATAAAAGTAAGAAAATGGTGTAGTATATGTTGAGAATTTAATTAAAGCTTTGACTAACTTAGGAAACAAAAGAGTTTCGACCGAGATTCCGGACAGATTTCCTCGGAATTATAAAATATCTAAACATAATCAACCACTTTTTTTATAACTATCTAGAGATTTACTTCATGTTGACTGGCAAGCAAAAACAACGCAAAATTAATAAACAAAAAACGGAATACCAAGCGTTATCATACTTTCCTACAATTCAAGAAAATCCAACAACAGTGAGAAAAGAAATACATAAAAAGTATGCTTACTGACTGCGTATCATTGAAGGTTAAAGTAGGTGTTACTTTGATTGGTCCATCATTGGGCAGTAAATAGTCGCTTGTTTGTACACCTTCATCTGAAGTACAATGTCTTGGCGTCTGATTTATTTCATATGATCTGGATGCTTGAATCTTCATTGTAATAAATTATGTATAATTGGATGTTATGCAACGGAGATAAAAGACGAAAGATTATCATTTTTTTAAAAAGTTACAACACTTTCGGTTTCCTCTACAGACACAGATGCTAATTAGTCTCTCTATTTGATAAAACTATCAGTTTTATTTTATGGACAGATTAAGAAATCAATAACTAGTTAAAGTCTACAAAACAATGCAGATTCACTTAGACCGGTGATCACATTCTAAGTTGATCGATCAAGAAATACAGAGATAGAAAATGATGACAGAGAATACTACTCAGTGGCTAATCAACTTTAGATAAACCAGTTCCATAGGACGTCAGTTGTTACCCTGATAGCTCAGTGATAACGTCTCGGACTGTAAGTTCGGGAGGTGTGGGTTACAACTCCACAAGGAGAATTGTCTCTCTCAAAATTGCAGGTGCACCTTGCTGGAGAGTTCCAAATAGCGCAAAACCTAGATTCAGGATTTCCTGCCGACTAACTCTAACTATCTAATATCTTATACATATGTAACACCGTTGGGCCACTTGAATTAATGGCTGCAGTCCAACTTGATTGATGGAATTCAGCCAAGACTGAAGGACTAGACAAATATGACAATGGTCACTACTCGGTGATTAATCAACTGTAAATCCATATTCGTATTTTGGATATGTTGTGTAAAGGACAAACTGGTGGATTTTAACATCGTCCAGTCGAAAAACAGAGAATATATCATTTGAAAGTTAAATAGTTGACCAAATAGGTTTTTATTCCACGACCAATTGTGAAAGAAAGAGTATGGTAAATATAAAGACTCGGACGTACAGAGAACAGCAAGCTGGAGATTCAGAAATTAGAAAATGAGTGCATAAAAATCATTGCAACTCGTCTTGATTAAAAAGGTTCACACAAACTATGAAGTAATGGTGACAGTGATTCGGAATAGACAACTATTCATAAAAAATAATTAAAGATTGATTTTACAGTGACAAGTGTAGTAGTCGTGTTACTATGATTCCCATTTTCGTTACTATTGGTATTACCATTGTTATTATTATTATTAGTAGTAGTAGTGAAATTAATAAGGATTATAAAAACAGCATGTTAAATTGCACAAATATTTCTATATTGATTTGTAGGTAAAATAACGTGCGAATAACCAGTTTAAATACACAAATATTATGGAAAATAAACAAAAGAGGTGGCAAGATTTGGTTACACCGTCTGGTAGGTCTTTCATAACTATAGAATAGGAGAAATATTATGAACTTATTTTGAATATAAGAGCGAAAAATTGCTGGCTCGATTCTTATAACCTCCACTATATTGAAGAGGTGAGCCCGAGTCCTGTCGGAAAAATGATAAATGACAACTGTGTGCGCTTTAAACTAAGATATCGAATGAGCCAGGCTTGATAGGAAAGACATATGTAATGACTTATCTGGACCACGAAGTCAGATAGTCACTAACGTATAGCAGGAAAATCGATAAATATACTTTAAGGTGATAAAACCAGGCAACCAATCCTTTGTTTGAGCAACCATCATTGAGTGACTAAAAAATGATGTATAGACTATCTAGAATGAGATTTCTTTTGGTAGATGTATGACATCGATAGCAACAGCTTTATTAGATTGAGGCCTCGGAAAGAGTGTTTTTTAACGAATAGTTAATGTATCTAACCCCCTTCTTATTACACATATTTTTTTCAAAAATCTTATTTGGTTGTAGATTTAAGTCAATTACATTATGAAACTTTTTGTTTATAGTCCCACTGAAATACACACTTATTTAAACAAAATACTTATTCTTCACAAAAGCTTAATCAGATTCATTAGAATCAGACCTGAAAGGTCTCGTTAGACGTTGCTGTAAACAATCGATTACTATTCGCTTTGCATCAATCTGGAAATAATACCTACATTGTGGATTACTTGTTCAATTAAAGTTTTTTTCATAGTATTCAGAAGATACATATATACATAAAAAGATTGTGTAAAATCATTAAAAAATATACAAATGAAATAAATCATAGCACAATTTTAAACGCTAACCGACCTAATTTAGTTAGCAGAGTTGGTCAACATCACTGACCGAGTAAAGAAATTGGTACTTGGTGAATAATTTACACGAACTATATACATTTGATAGAGAAAAGTTTAGGTATTTTTAAAAAAAAACTACTTACATTACAATAATTTAATATTTTCAAATAGACATATGAAGAAATTCCAAATGATGAAACATTATAGTACTCAAAAAGATAAAAACCTACTTGATAAACATATTTTTTAAGTCGACATATTTCAGATATTGTTTTTGATAATTTAGATGATAAATCCTATATTGAAGATAATAGATGTTTATTATCTTTAATAGATTTGAATCATAGCTAACTTAATATAAAGTAAAAACATAAAACCAAGTTCTATTTAGTATATTTCAAAGATAGAAATTCATTTATTGGATGAAGTTCTACTATTCTATTGACCTTTAATTACTTTGAAATTTCTATATCTAAATGATTAGTCTGTGAACATGTGAATAACCCCATCGCTACAAATAGTAATAAAGTTCAAATGTGTACTTAGTTTATAAATTTGTCAAGACTTATAATCTATTCTTAAAATTATTTTACGTTCAGAAACTGATTTATATGAGTCAACATTACTTTCTATCTCCATACTTTACATGAACCGCATCTGTAGTTAACAGACGAATTTATATTAGCTTATATAGTATTTTTGTATATAAGAGTCCTTCCAACGGCAGAAACAGTAACCAGTTGGATTAAAAAACCAGAGTTATGTGTACAATAGAAATTTTCTCAACCGCTTCTCTTACCTTGGCCAAACCTCAGGACCAGTTAATCTATCATAATCTTAACTATTGAATGACCTAATTCAACTAATGCAATTGCAACCTTTCTTCGTTAAATTTAATTGTCTTTGTTATCTTTATTCACCTATCGTTGTATTATTATTATTAGTTTAACATCACTATTAATCTCCTGAATGAATAATTAATCTACTTAGCACCCACTCAACTTTATTATTTCCTATTAATTTCATATACATTTTTGCCTGACATAATCTTCCACTAAACATTTGATCGAATTTGTAGCTGCATTATTATATCTCTTGCCTTATTTGAGTCATATTTATTCTGATTATGAATCTTATAATTTCACTTATAAGCTGACTCAAGTTAATACTACATATTAGTCAACTCAACATTAACAATTTATTTCTATCTAACAATCTTAAATTCACATATTATAGCTCCAGCTCCAGTACACTGAGAGAACAAATGGCGTATGAACCAATCGTTGGTCACCGGCTACCATGGGACTGAATCTCCTTACGATGCTCCACTGCTTTGTGGATCAGATCTTCAGGTCGAAGGCTCTGGGTGTGGCCCCCTAGGAAAACCACTTGCCTCGGTTTGGGCACCCGGGCAGTACCACAGTCCTCATACAAATCAAATGAGATTTGTGTGGCGCATATGTATCTAGTTTCCTCTTGTACCAGTATTTGTGTTCAAATAAATAATTAAATAAATAAATAATGCTTTAAACGATGTACTTTGCCTTACATTTGGTCACTTTTTAGATTATCAATTTGGATATATAATTGAAGAACCTGAGGGGAATTTATTGAAAAGAATATTTCTCGTTCATATATAAGTTTTGATTACGGTTGGAATTTTTAAACGATTAAACTCTAGTATTGTAACAAATCCACTGAAAATATCCATTGAGGATTCATAGTCACTCCGATCTATATGTATGTGTTCAACTCTTCCCAGTTCAAAAAGTAGAGGATAAATGATACAGATCATCAACTGCTGTGTCGTCTCCAAGTGAAGAAAGCGTTTAAGAGGATAACTAGTTCAATAACTAGTATATTTTGACAATGAAACATATTTTAAATAAACATACGCCTTACAAAGAGGGTTATTTATCAAGTATACTTTGACAAAACTTGATAGAAAGCTTAATTTTTTTGAAAAATAATAAAATTACCAAGAGTTAATCACTAAGATTAAGATAAAAAGCAAAGAATTTCATCAGATTTACTTGGATTAACCGAACTTATATCCATTTTCGTAGATTTTAAGTACTATTTGAATAATATACATATGGATAAAAAAAGATATGCGTCAATAAATACATGTTCTTTTTTCTTACCTTTTCAACTAAAGAAAGCTTTCTTTCAAAATTCCCCACTCTTTCACGGGCTTCATCAATGGAAGTTTCCAGAAACTTAGTTTGTCCATTAGAATATGCTTTGGATTCCACCAGACGACGAATTGTAGCAGACGCTACTTGACATGTATTTTCAAGTCGACTGAAAGCAGAAATGAATTAAATTAGATTGTGCACTGTGATGTACTAAAAAAATATAAATTCATTCGTCAGCAGCTCGATAAGATAAAATGGTCTTACCATCAGCTTTGTGGATTAATGACCTATATGAAAATGTTAAGAATGATTTAGGTTGAGTAAGGAACATTACTACAACTAAACCCATCAACATATTTCGGTCCTAGTTGTAAATATCCTGATAATAACGCGAAAGGTAGCTGATTCTCTAGATAATTTTACTCCCTGTCTTGATCAATTTCAACTGAAATTTTCAAAATCTAATAAAAGAAACCCGTTTTATACAAAATGGTTCAGATCGTGATAGCATAACTGCTATGTTTTGACCAATTTTTATTGCCTCAGCCTGGCAATTAAATTTAGCTTTTTCATGGAAGATATCAGTTATCGAATATGATTAGTTTTATTCGATCGATGTCTAGTGTTTTTGCTTTCTTCTCAAAGCGCAAGTACAAAAAAATGGATAGTGACGTTGCAGTAGTTGATAATTAAGATGAAACTAAAGTTTCCGGGAAGACAGCCAAATGTAACCCTTTCGGATTTATTGTACAGAAGAATTCACTTTTGAAATCTGTAAGTACGTTTTGAATGTAATCAAGGGAATATTTGAATTTAAAGGTAGCAGTATCAGTCAGCTGAATTATAGGTGCAAAACTTTTGAATAAATATCTAGGCCCTCATAATGTTCACAAATGTACTTCCGGATTGTGATATATACGGAATCTTTCAACATCATCCGTAATATATAACACTAAGTTTGTCTGTAAATATAAATCATGAGCGAGAATTGTCATCCAACTAATCACGAAAATTTGTCAATGTATCTAATTGGACTGAAGACATTAGGGTATAGTTTGTATCAATTGTGGATTGCTTACTGTTGACCCCAGATAATTTAAAATTAAGTATTGTTGTGGATGCGCAGGAATAGACCAATAATTATCATGTTAAGTTCAATGGTGTCCTTGGACTTTAAATGGATATTTTCTATTGGTAAATATCTGTTCACTTGTTGTATATTGTACAAAATGTTGTTTTCTATTTTATGGTACGATGTGGTGTGCTTGATTGGTATATAAACAAAGTATGTTTGAAATATAATGATTCATATCCCCGAGGCTGTGACTTGTGTTCTGGACTCAACTGACTGGGCTAGACAGGGAAGTGGGACCAATCGAGACTCTAGGCCGTCCGTACGTGTTTGCGTGTCATTGTAATCGATCGATAACACAGGGTAGAAATCGACAACAACTTAAAGTCATAACAAGTATCTTGAACTGAGAACACTAATAAGATTTATGTTAGTCAGGTAAGCAAAATCTAAAAAAACGGTTTATCAGTAGTTTTTATGGATATATTCGACATGATTTTAGTGGTGATTATTCTTAACTTCGTTAAATGCAAACTGGGTATTATCAGTAATACGTACCAAATTAGGATATCCCAAGAGTATAGCTTCAAACTGTTACCACGCTTTGTGATATTACTTTGCTTGTCTATAAAAATAACCCCTAATTCAACATCGAAAAATCATAGCTGAATTTTTCCAGATGATTTAGTCAGTAGTTCACTAAACTTATGACGGCAAAACATAAACATGACTATAACATCTTAGCACTAATCGTTCTAAAAGATTGAATGAGTCGTACTTACCGAAATATTAATTACTAATTAGTGCTTGTGATTTTCAGTAGCCACTGAAGAATTGAATTGATAATTGTTACAATAATGGTAATTTTTTAAACAGAACGAACATTTTGAATATTTTTGTTAACTATATTAATGTTCTCCATTCCCTCTTTCTACCTGTGATAAATATGGCTCAGATTTTCCCCAGGCTCTTCGTTGTCTCCGTTTGTTTATTTATAAAGATTCTGTCATGATAACCAACGTATTCGTTTCCTTATCAGTCGCTCTCTAATCATATAAAAACTAAAATTAGCTTATAAGTACCATCCCAAACAACACCTCATTATTACAACTCAATAATCAAATACGGCATTATGTTATAGATAATTAGTCATACTGATTGTATGGACGTTGATGTAGCACTTAGATTTACAAACTTTGATTGACGAAGAGTTCCGAAATGTGGCATGTTGATTGAAAATCAAGTATCTAAACCAATGAGTTAGAAATCCTAATTTTATGGAAGAGATTATTAGAAGATTTATTCTATGTTAACAAAAACTTTACTTAAATTCAAATAAATAGATACATCCAAGTAAATGAATCTAAAGCTAACTGATAGGGGTGGTTTTCGTAGACCTGAACAGCAATCCATTTGATCAGAAAAATATACCAATTTTAATTATTTTAAATTATTGGTAAGTAAATCGATTACCTTATTTCTAACATTTTATCTATGAGGGTATTATTAGCTTCACTCAGTTGATTTTCCAAGTACTTAACTTTATGAGTAATTTCTTCTTGATCACTGAGAGCCTGCTGTAACTGTTGTAATGGTGGTGATAAGTCAGTAGGTGAAGTTTGTCCATGTTTAACTGATATATTGGGTGTTGAATTGTGTTTTCGATGTAACAGCAAGTTTAAACGCTTTGCCATGGTTTTTTCTTGACGTTTTACAGATTTCTGAGAACCATTGATAATTGACTTTTTCATTTCAGCTTCACGAGGAAGGCGATGAATCTCCGAGATTTTATTTGTGAGTGATGCTTTGGTAATCATTAATTCTTCGGCCTATGAAGAAATTAATAATTAGAGAAATTGGCTCAAAAATACCTGAAGCTTAATTGTATTTTTATGATCATTTAACTGTTTACTAAGTTTGTCGATGGCTAACTGATGCTCTTCTTTCATCTCTTTAATATTATTCTTTTGATTGGTTTCCTCTTGTAATTTTATTTCAAATTGAGATTGCAATTCACCATATCGTTTCTGAATATCAAGTGTACTATTTTTTTGATCAACCAACTGTTGTTTCAGTGATGAAATAATCTGTTCATTTTTTTGTCTAGATTTCAAGTTGAAAAATGATAAACAACGTTTTAAGTATGGTCTAGTATTGATTCCAAGATTCTGCCTTGACTTTTTGGTTAAACTAAATACCTAAATGTTTTATTGAAACCAGGTCACTTGTATATAGGTATATTGAATAAAAACATGCACTGGAATGATAAAATGGTAGTCTACACACGGACAAAGTAAGGGGACTAATTATCTTGAATACGGTTTGAGTTGTTTGACCGGTTGATACCTTAGTTTTAATTCAATAAGTAATAACCTAATAGTCGATGCACTGACTCTGTTTTTCAAACGGATAATGGTTAATTAGTAAGTTGTGTAACATCACCACATTGCGCAGTCCATTAAAAAATTGCAATAAAAAGTTAGTACAGAACATATACGTATGCAAAATTTCTTAAGGTGCCACTTCATAAGATTACATTCAAAGTATTCAGAGTATAGTGTTAAACTGCATCCAACCACCAATACAATAACAATCAAAGAATTCAACAAGAAACTGTGAAGACAAACGATTAAGGAGAGTTATTCTACGTAAAATATCTCCAAAGACCGCAAGAAACTACAATCTACAGGAAGCCCTTAAAAGTTGTGATAAAGTGGGTTAAACGATAACTAATAATGAAGTCTAGATATCACTCGAAAATCCAACTGAAATTCGAACGAAACATAAACTACTGTAAACATTATGAACCATAAAAAGGTTAGGTGAGATTAGATATTGTAAATGAGAGAAACCCTTACTGTTAAACAGTTGGAAATTTATAAATAAACAAGTTTTATCTCAAATTTTACGAATGCTAAAGGTTATGTTTCATAAGGATTTATAAAACTTATAGTCGAATTTCAGTGAGCCACTTTAGGTTTTCAAGAACTTATTGCTAACGCTCTTCAAGAACTTTGAATTGGCACATTAACGAGTAGGTCCCAGATTTGAACCGGCTTCACCTTCGTAGGTTTGAGTAGCCAACACAATCGACAAGGCTCAAAGCTGAGTACAAAAACCTGTGTTCAATATATGGGATAACTACAAAGACTGAAGTTAAGAAATAATAGTTAATTCAGTAGAGAAAATTTAATTTCGTATTTACGTTTGTATTTATAGTTGTTTGGCAAATATATATCTATAGAATAATAAAAAAGATTGAGTTACAAAATGATTTCAGATGTAACCTTTCCTATTTTTCTATAGATATATACATTTGCTAAACAACTATAAGTACAAATGTACAGTTTGAGTGAATAGATTCGTCGAAAAAAGATTTCTTCACTGAATTCTCTTTGTTTTTATTTAGTGACACAATAGGTTGGTTTGATAGTGAAGTCTACAAATTAACATATTAGAAAACAGCTTCAATACTTTATTCTCAAATCGAAAAACAGCTATTTATGAATTAAAGGACTAGATTAAACGTATCTGACTACTGGCATCATCATAAATCTCGCGTCTTTCACAACTGGTACCTGGCTAACGAAAATGAAATAAAAATGGTGGCATCTGAACTTCTAAATCAGTGGTTAAACATGGAACGCTGGAACCAAGATCACAAAAAACTATCACAAGAATATCATTAAATTTTTCTGCAATTCCTCCCGTGTATTAAAGTCATGAGGTGATTACTGCAAATTATGAGATAAACAGGATATGTGATGTTTATATAACTAAGTGAATAGAATGGCCAAAATTTTGAGCTGTTTAATTCTATTTTGAAATAAAAATGAGTGTTCATCAGTCTTAAAATCTCATCAACCATATGGTAAGATAAAAAAACTTTTATTTTAGTGAGTTTCACAAACAGGACTAGCCAGAATAACTGCCTAGTGAACCATACCATCTATTCGATGTCAAATGTTGTACCTTGTTGTAGAATATTAGCTTTAAAAAACAGGAATCAAAAGGCTTGACTTCTAATCTGTAAGAAATAATCAATGTGAAATATAAACATTCTTACCGAAAATTACACAGTTCATGAGTCAGAAATCGGATAAAAACAAGAAAAAATTTAAATACGATGAAAATCGCCCAGCATTTACAAGTCGATGAATTTTTAGGTTGACTGAAACCTTTACCAAGTATTTATATCAATATCATGCTGAATAACAAAATCAGGCCTAATGATTATAAGTCAACGATAGGACAGGAAGTCTATAAGCACACTTTTTATTCAACTTGCACTGTAGAAAACATCTCCTTGGTGAAAAATGACGTGTGATTATTTGACTTAGGCTAGAGAATAACAGTAAGGAGACAAGTTGCCGTACTACTGAAAAATGATTAGAAGTTCGACTTTGCTCGACTGTAACATCGAGTAACCAGAAACAGAAATTAGACTGCTTTATAATCTGGACAACTGTCCCATTTTTATGGTAGCTACCGCATATATTTATTCACATTATATTTCACTATTTATATCCGAATATAATATACAAAATTAGGTACACTTCGAAAAAATTATTCTAAAAACCTAGGTAGCTAACCGAAAAGTAAATGACACACCTTAATCTCTCGTATTCGGCTTTCAGAGCTTCATTTTCAGTCTCTAAATTACGTAGATGCATTGAGAAATCACTTTTTTCTGCAACTAATTGCTTTTGATATTTCCTTTGGAGATTACTGTAACTAGCTTTCATTGCGTCAACCTTGTGACTTAATTCCTCAATCTGCTTGCCATAACAAATCCTTGGATCTTTGGATTCAACCATTTCAAGGCGCCTAAAAGCATCTTGTAGCTAGCAAAACAGTTTATTAAATAAAAAAACAACTTACATCCCTTTCTTTTTCGTTAACAAGACCCTGAAGCCTGTCATTTTCAGACACCTTAATCGACAGCTTTCTTTCAAGGGCTTTAAGATCTTTTTCCCATTCACATTTCTTCTTCTCAATGAGCATATCAATCTCAACTAAAAGCTCCTGTAATTCATACTCAAACTCAGATATGTGTGGCACAAGAAAACCAAAGTTTTTCAATCTAAAAATCTCAAATTTACGAAACTTCAGTACTTATTATTCTCTAGCTTCCGCTCCACATTGGTTGACTGACCAAGTGAAGACGAAAATCCCAAGGACATGTCAAGCAATTTAAAGGAACACAAAACAATAGGTTTGGTTTATTGACGCCAACAAACAAAATAAACGTTTGCAAAATGACAGTGTGCGAATTTCTGAAATAACTTCATTATCATATGCTTTCACGGAGGTCAGGAGATAGAATTCATTAATTTTTGTGCGGTATATCTATAAGGATTCGAAAGATTTCTCTGTCGATTTATAGTTTTGATTTCCTGATTACCATGACATCGTGCCTGCATCGATGCTAATGATTGCCACTTTCTTCCATCGTAGCTTTAAATGAAACAGCTCTAAGTATTTTGCATTTGGCTCTCCTAAAAAATTTGAGAACCGGTGAAATGTGACTGAGCCTTAGCCAAATCGTCCAGCAGGAATGTCACTCAATAATAAACAGTATGTTGATCGGCTTCAGGGTCAAGGACAACCACACGCATCAATCGACTTCACATGAAGGATGAGCATATGTGCTAGTGATCACACTCTATTTCCTTTATCTTTTCCTACTGATGAATTTCTGTAGAAACATTATCTAGCTATTGTACCTGAGTACGACTAAAGGGTATTAAGTGAAACGTGTGATATAGATGTAAGCTGGCAGGTCAAGCCACTCTCATTCAACTGGAATAGACCTTCAGCCATTGGCAAATATCTCACACCTTTGTGATCTACGCAATCATTCTTCTACCAACCGGATTCTTTTAAACTGTTCAGGAGTTTGTGTGCAGAATTTAGGTTTTCACCCACCGAGCTATTTGCTTTGCCGTCGACGTTTCACTGACGGTCACATTTGAGGCTTTGTTGTATGAAATGGGTGAAAGCGTAACAATCATTAGTAAATTGGTTATATGTGGCAATCTAATCCTTTTGCTTCATTCATCTGAATTTATATTTGATGTTTTGGAGCTATACAAAATACTTAAAGTTGTTACACTCAATATTTGCCTGATTGGTACCAATAAAGCGAACTATTTCACTATACCGAATTGATATACGGTTTTTCAAAAGAAATTCTGTTCAGAATAATATAGGTTATTGGTCAGCGAAAGTCCAGTGATGACTTATGTATATAACGTTCCATATAACTATCACAAAACGTAATAAGTCAGAAACTCGTTTTCATACCTTCTAAATTAGTTTATGTGTTCATTGGGCTGTCCTAAATAAGTTATATGCTAACTTTCATGTTTGATCGGCGCTTAAGTCTATTCTTAGAAATAACACACATATTACTATTAATGGCTTTATTCAATATTATATTTTGGTACATACTTCACATGACCAAAATCCTAACACAATTATGCTGAGATTGGATCTCGTGTGTAACGTGGACGCAGTGCCACTTTAGAGAAGATTTCGAAGACTATTCAGTATATCTGAAGTAATGAACTGATATGCACTTCTATAGACTATATTTATTTAACATGCATGTTGTGAAACAATAAATGTTGTAATTTGTAGATCATGCCTGTATAAATGGCATGTACGTGCCCTTGCGGAAATAAAAAAAGAAGTAACCCCGATCAACTCTTCAACATTTGGCTGCCACAAAAATGCGTTTACATATAGCACATAATAGTACTAGTAGTACTCTAACCATAACGTGATATTGAAAATCGGCCGTCCTTTGAATATTTTCTAGTCGAATTTGATTCTGTTATTTTCGCATCTCATATGCGTACATTGATGACTATTTGGTAGGAAATCACTATAAAGAGAAATGACACAAACGACGAATATGATATTTACAGGACTTTAAGACCGCTCGACCAAGACGATCAATCGAAAGTGCTAAAGTAGCAACACAAGCTGGAACCCAGCATTCATACAATCGGTATCTCATATGTTATGTGCGAACAACCCAGTTGCAGGTTCCTTGTCTCAAGCATGCGAATTTAACTGTTATGCAGAAAAGACCATCCAATAAGATGGAATGAATATGGTGACATCTTCAGTAGATCAGACAGCTTGTCCTAACTAAATGCCTGAGAAACTGTGGTGTTTGAATGGACTAATGATTCCTTTGTAATTGTTGAATGCTTGATCTCGAATTCCTAATACAGCACATTCGTTTGTGCTTATCTAGTACTTCTTGATCCGATTGCGTTATTTCTGGGATTCTTAGTTCACACTATAATATGTTGTCTTAGTAGAATGGCTAATCCAGCATAATATTGGATACATGAGTCTGAGTGGTGAGCGTAGAAAGACAATCTATATCACAGGTTGATTAACTTGTTCTCAATCATAAGGAGCCTGATACATACAAAATGTTCTGCCTACAAACATGGGTGGATTGAAGTCATCGCCCCCACCATCAATGCTTGCTGGTCAGTAACTCCACCCTCCCTCATTTTGTAATGTTAGGTTCATTTAAGCTTATTTTTGGATATATGTCGTACCTCACGCAACCCTCTGTGTTTCACATCCTGTTGGAAAACACTATTTCTATAAGTACCATTTTACAAGCTTATCAGACAGTTACAGGTTATGGACTGTTTATAAGGCATCGATGCAGTACTTCTCTTGACTATAGTATGAAGCATAATGTAGGATAGTTGTTTATTAAAGCAGGCGGGAAAGTATAGAAGTATATGAGTTGTAGATAAGGTAACGAGTGGAGAAATAATATTAATTGCTAGTAAACGTAGTGTGCAGAAGATTAAAAAGTTAATACAGGATAAACCGGAAGAAACTCTTAGTAACTTCGTGTTGATGTTATTTTGTGTTGTCCTAACTAGCTGATTGCTTACAGGCTCCATAGATGCAAGACCACCTGTAGTAGGCAATTGGTTGTGCGGTCCTCTTGACTTTCTGAGCGTGGTAGTGAGTGTCCCTTAGCGACCGATTTTAGTTGAACGTTATCGATAGGTTCAGTGAGTTACCTGTCTACTTCAAATGAAGAAATGGGGCGGAAAAGGTAACTAATACAACTGCAAAGTAGGAAAAATAAGACAAACTGAACTTGAAGTCCATTTTGGTCTAAACATGGAGAGAGCCTATGATGTCTGAATGAGGCGCAGATGTGTTCTTGCGTGCTAGATCAGTACAAGTGAGGGCTTGATCAAGCAGTTTTACAAACGCATTTAATTCATCTGCCATGCGAATTTCGCATGGGAGACTGTTCCATATTATGGCATACTTGGTGCGGAAGACGTTTTCTCGAGTTTTTGATCTGTATTTCTCAACCTTGACCGTAGACACTTTGTTTCGAAGTTCGTATTCATGTGAATCTCTAGCAAGAACTATCTTTCATGTTGAATAAGTAAGGTTTTTGAGTAGAATAAAGTAGAGAATCAAATAAAACCTAAGCCTTCTCTCTCAAAGGGAAGCTATTCCTAAGATTTGGCATCGGAAACTGTAGTCAATGATTGAATCAGCCTTGATTATTTTCCGGGTGAAGTCTCGTTGTTTTCCTTCCACCTTTAGTACATCAGATAGGCGTAGGTTAGAAAATAAGAACGAGCAGTATTCAACAATAGGTCTTACACAAACTTTATAAAGAAGGATTTTAGATTCAGTTTGATAGAAATTACGGAGAATGAAGCCAAGCAATTTCCTCATTTTAGATGCTTTGGTTGAGATGTGTTCAGAGAAATTAAGACTGTGTGAATAATGTACCCCTAGGTCAGTTACTGATGCCAGTCTGGGGAGTGTGTGATCGCTAATTGTTAGTTTCATTTTAAGAGACGTGTCTCCTATACATAACCAGCCGCATTTCTCTATGTTGAGCTCTAACCTCCAGCGTTTGCACCAGTCATCTACCATGTTGAGTTCATGTTGGATTGTTTGCATAGTACTGCGTAAATCGCAAATGTCAGTTTTATAGATGACTTTTAAGTCATCGGCATAGAGGTAGGTCTTACCTGTGCTGAAACACCTGCATATATTGTTGATGTAGATTATAAAGAGCGATGAACCCAAGACACTACTCTGCACAACACCACTGGTTATTGGTCGAGGTGTGGATGCTTTAGAGTTAATCTTGGTTATTTGATATCTGTTCGTAAGAAAAGACTTGATCCATTGAAAAAGGGGATTTATAATTCCGACTGGCTTAAGTCTGTTGGTTAGAAGACTATGAGGTACTTTATCAAAGGGTTTCTTAATATCAAAGTACAGTATAATAACTAGTTTCTTCTGGTCGCGTATACGAGTAACCTCGTTAAAGAAGTCTATCAGACATGTACTGAACGACCTTGTCCTAATGAAGCCGTGTTGTGACGGGTTATTAGATCTTCCTTAAGTAGGTGATCACATAGTTGATTTTGTATCACTTTTTCCATTATGCGTGATATGACTGAAGTGATATTTATAGGTCTGTAGTTTTCGACCAGGTTTCTCGGTCCGGATTTGGGTTTGGGAAGAACATTCGTTACCTTCCAGGTTTCCGGATATGTACCTGTCTATAAAGATAATGTGTATATTTTGAGTAATAGCGTCTGTATGTCTGGTCCTGACATTTTAAAAAGGATTGAAGGGATGGCATCGGCACCAGAACTCGCATTTTGCTTAAGGGTTTTAATGGCAGTATGTAAACTCCTAATGTCGAAGTTTGTGGTACTAAGATAGTTTTTGCCGATGCACTTAATGTCGATATCTGGAGCATGAGATGTATTGCCATTGTGGGAAAAGCATTCACTTATTAGTTCACATATGAAGGTTTGGTCATTATACGTCACTCCATCGTGCAGTAATGAGTGAATGTTGTGGTCTGCGTTCTTTCTTACGCGTTTCGTGAGGAGGTGACATAGGACTTGGGCTTTAGATGCAGCAGCGACCGCAGTACGTCCCTCTACCTGTTTATGCTTATTGTATTGACTTCGTACTCCTTCAAGTACAGAGTATATCTGGTACAGGGTACTGAAGTCTTTCGATATATAGTACGTCCTATACAGTTTTCGCAGTTTAGATCTAGTCTTTTGTTCTATATAGGGAGTAACTGTTTTAAAACCAATTTTAGAAGATATAGTAGTGTCTAGTGCAGATTTGGTGGTGGTACTGAATATTTCTAATGTTTCTAGGAGGTTATCACTGGTAAAGAAACTGATCCAGTAATAGTGCTTTATTAGAAATCGAAAGTTTTACCAGTCAGTGTTTGCATACTCTCTATATTGGAAACGCGTATTTAATATCTTTAATTTGTTTCACATGGCAAGAATCGGAAGGGTGTAGAGGACTGTTTTATGATCGCTGTTGTGAAACTTTTCGCCAACCACCATTGATGTTGGCGTGGCATTATGACAGAATATCAAGTCGAGAATGCTGTGATTTCGTGTAGGCAGGTGTACATGTTTTTGCCAACCGTGTATGTCTAATGACTTAAGTATCCTTTCAAAGCACAATGGGCCAGAATGCGTGGTCCAGTTGGTGGTGGGAAGGTTGAAATCACCACATACAATTTTGTAAGTGAAGTCAAGCGAGGCAGCCTGAGCAAATGGCTTACTTATAATAGCGTCAGTTGAACTAGGAGTGTTAGGAGCTCGATATATGCATCCGATTAGTATTTTACATTCATGAGTGTTCACAGTAAGCCATATCGAATCAGAAAGTTTGCTGAGGACATGGTCACTACAGATTTCCGCTCTCAAACTTTCTGATACATAAACAAGATAACCACCACTCTTCTTGGTGACTCGATCACAGCGGAAGGGCTCATAGGTGTCTATTTTTAGATATGTGTCTGTGGTGTCAGACGACAGCCAACTTTCTGTTATCAAAACAAGTGAGGGGTTGTTAAAAAGTAATAGGGTGTGCGGGTGAGTCATCTTACTTTGTACAGATTAAGCGTTGATCAACATAAGTGTCAGGTATGGTGAGTGTTTTTCTAGTAGAAGAGCATGATGTAAACCCGGTGGATTGTCTGTTTTGCCATGAGAAAAGGAAGAGTTGGGAGCGTTGGCTCCATATTGATAAGCGTTTAGTTTATTACCAATAGGGTTAATGCGAGAAGGTTAGTCAGTCAAATACTCCTAATCATCGTGGAAACACAACCGTATTGCTTCGTTGGAACGAATAACGAAGTAAAAGAAAATGCAACTAAGCTTTTATGTGCAATGTTAAAAAGCCTTGAGGACTACATACAGTAAATACGATAACAAAGGACACTGCCGCAACAAGATTCCGCAAAGTTCATCATCAACTGACGGTGTACATCTTAGTCATTTTCGTCTCTATCTAGTAGAGCTTGTATCGGAACAGATTTTACGCGAAATCCCGCGATAGTACGTATGAATAACACTTCTTCAGCTATTACATGTTCTTTTAATAAATGATTGGTTGAAAACTTTGGAATCATTAAAATGAACCGTTGATGCCTTTCCAAGTTCATGCTATTCTAAAATACGTCTTGGCAGTGATACTCTTCTAAGCGACCATATAACAACGAAGCGGCCGTTAGACAAACTTCTGAACACCATCACGGTCAAGAATGACTAACACGGACTGGCTCGAGAGACAATGGTTCCACTCTGACTTTCTGTAGTCTAATGTTACTCACAGATTTGGAAAGTAATGTGATGTTTGTCCAATATGGTCAGCGAAGTGGCCAAAGCACGTGGATATCATGAAATAAGAGTCCATGTTTGACTTCGAAGTAAGCTGCTCGGTCACAGCGCCCCTATTCAACTTGGGTAGACTGCGGTCATCTACATAGACCACCTACAATGGTTATCTGCATATCTATCGGTGAAGCGAACATGAACAAAGATATTTGTGATCATAACGACCATATGACAAAACAATATAAATATTGATAGACAGTATAATAGCTAACAGTAAAACTGCCAAGTAGCTAAACTCCACAAACTCTAACCTTAGAAGACAGCTTCTCATAGTTCTATAGCGGTAAATAATTAACCAAAGTGAACAGCCATGAACGTTTCTGATACTACTACCTATATCGTTAATTTTGCCGAATACGTTCCTAGTAGGCGGCTTGTAGTGAGATTTTTGAAGCCGAGCATACGATAGCTGGAAAGAAATACGTTTAACAGTGATGACAAGGTGAAAGTCAAATTTGATGAATACAGGACGCAAGAATCAGAACCGCACAACTCGGTCGAGCAGATGTGGTCACTACAAATAAATTGCTATGTCGTCTACAGTGTCGAGCAAACATAGCTCATTTTAGGTTCCGGACAGTCCAATTTCCCGTTCATATTTAGTCATATTTTGACCTTGCCGATTATCCACCTATTAATCTTGACTTCTGTGTGAGCGTATGTGTGTGCTTTGCTTATCTTACTCCTCGTATGTCTGTATCTTATTTTTTTCCGATTGTAAATATAAATTCTCGCTTGGTTAAACCGGGCTGACTTGCAAGCTTTCTCTACTGCACGTCATTTCCCTTTGATCCATTCTCTCTTCATTCGCTTCGTTTCTCCTATCTTTCGTCTGGATTGACGATTGTATGAAATACACGTATTCGAAATTCATTTTCGTATTTTGCTAGTTCACTTTCGTTATTCACTAACCGATTTAAGTCGATAACTGTGTGCAAGGATTGTCGAAATGTTCAGGTCTGTAACAGCTTAGGTTGGTTGGTTAAGAGTCCACCCCAAACAACCAAGCATATGCCAAAAACAGTATTGTTCAAGCATTCATTCACTTCCTTATTTTTTATAAGCGTTATATTCCCTATTATCTTATATTGAATGTTGAGAGTCTTTGTTTGTCTGAACAGATAATCCCACGCTCCACTGTGACCGCGCTAAGATCGAAATAAAGACCTATTTACTAATTGTCTGGTTTCTTCTGTCAATGGCACAATGGTTACCTTAAGGCACGAAAGGTCAATAACGATAATCACACGAGCACATTGGAATCAGACATTCAAGGGCTACCAAAAACCTTGTGTTGTACTAAACTAAATATGTTACTCTATCCACATTTTATGTGTTTCTCAGAATTTCGCTGACCATCACTATAGAACAGGTCAGCACAGATGATTGTATGGCATCCACGTCATGTCGGATAGATAATTGAGTTATATCATGTCAGTTCTACAACCTTGGATTAGTTTTACTGTTTTAGTAACAAAGATGAGTGCATTAGTATCAACCTAGTAGCTAACCTTACATACTCTAAGCTAGACATTTACACTAGATCACAGTTGTACACGCCGTGACAAGCATCCTTTGGAACAGCTCCATTGCTTAGGTCAGGTGCTTCTCGACTCATCGAAAGTCTTTCAAATGTATCTTCGAAGCTCCTTATTATTGAGCTTGTTTAGACCAACTTTGGGAACTTTGATCATATAGAAAGCTTGACAACAGTTTTGCCAAGCACCGATCAGCAGTACAATGCTTTCAGTCAGATGTCAAGAAGTCAAGGCTGCTGCATAAGCGAAAATGAGAACGACTAAACCTACAAAACTATCGATCGAAAAAAGATTGGCACAAACGAAGAAATATTTAATGGAAGTTACCAACTAACGCCAAATGACAACTGATTGCGAAGAAACCTTCGTGGTTTTCACTAAACTAAGAGGGGCAATTTACCGATGAGCCTGAACAGAAGCAAAATATTTCAACGATAATATTGTCTACGTATTGTTGCTTAATTCAGAAGAAGTTGGTAGTCAATTTTTTCCTAATAATAACGTAGCAACTATTCAAAACGACTTTGAAGATATACACACGAGGCATTATAAAAAAGGTTTTAAGTATGATGGTACCTGACCAGCACTTACTTCGACTGGCAGAGACGGTTGACAAAAACTCGAATCCAGATAAGGCGGTCATCGGAAGTTTGGAAAACATAAGAGAAATGGTAGGGATTCAGAATTTGTGGACGTTATAATAATAGTTGCGGTTAATCTAAAATGAGAATAAACATACAAAGATACAGACATTCAACAAAAACCCAAAGAGTCTTTTACGAAGTTCTCAGCGTATTTCCATTTCAGCAAACGATAATGGGTCTTACAAGGACATGTACGTGTTCCGAAACTTTTAGATAAACAATATTATATCCAGCAAGCTTAATGAGACATCTGTAGATCACAAACGTAGATTATCTATGTCGAATGATTGGAGACCTAATCGAGTTAGATGAGAATGGTGTGATCAACAGCTCGCGGTCAGCACCTAACGTGTATTACCCTTTTGTCGTATCAATGTACAGTGAGTGCTTTGAACACCGTATGACACAAATGACATTATTGAAGAAATGCATTAGTAAAAGTAGGTGCAATAGAGGGGTTGTGATCACTTCAGGACAGGTCAGTCCATGGCACGCAACCAACTGATGCGCGTGGAAGATTTGGGTAGGGCTCGTTGACATTCCACCAAACTACACACCTATTAGACTAAAAATGAATAGCTAGGCTTCTATGAAGATTCGGAAATCGTGATGGGTTTTCGATATGTCGTGTTAGATCATATTCTATTTGTCACATCTTAAACTGTTACATGGTTGTATTAAATACCGATGTGTCTCTTTTTAATTTTCCCTTACGACATTATCCCCGGTTACCCAACTTCAGTAATTTGTCTTGTTCCTCAAATAAACTGACGTATTACGCAAAATGGCTCAAGAGGAATCTGTAGAAGATATTAATGATTAAGTGTTTCCATGACTGGTCTCACAATCCTGATGTCATCTCTTTGGATTAGTTTGATGGATGAAATATACATGCAAGAGCATGAACTTTGGCTTAGACTATATTCAAGAGTTAAGCTTCAATTTTCGTTGCTTTTTTACCCCACAAAACTAAAATGCGTTACGGTAGCTATTCACAAAAAACATATTCATTTCGTTCCAAAAAATTGAAATGAATCCTATAGGAGAAATGTAACTTTTAAGGCGTCAGTAAAATTCTACTTGAACTAAAAATGATTAGATCTGTAAGATATTTCAATTAACTGATATGGAGATAAATAACTGTAGACCGTGTTAATTTTGATTTTTACGGTACAACTGTGACAGTGACAATTTGTGTTGTGTTTGGTTTCGGTGGTAAGCACTTATGTTCCGTTTTAATGTCCTCCTAGAGATACGTATCTCAAGATCGACAGTCTAATCTCTGCATAAATCCACCCTATATAGTCTACTTCCCGCTTATATAAACGGGAAGTGATACATATGTATCACTGACATTTAAGTATCAGTCGTGTGCACACGACAATGATTCTGGTGTAACTGACAGATATGACAGTCTTCGATCGATATTTGGCAAGGAATATAAGCATTAACTTGTTAGTTTTACGCTTTTCTTGGACTTAGCTGATGATTAAGAACTTCGTCTTAGCTGCCAATTTCGGGGAAAATTTGGCACATTTTGGGGAAGCCGCTATAGTAAACTTTGGGGAAATGGCACAAAACCCCCCAAATTCCCTTTTAACCTTGGCGAAGGTCATTTGACTTCAGCAGTTTCCCTAAAAGTTCCCCAAAATTGGAAGCTCGGGTCTGTTCTAAATGAAATACTTGCTCTTATCAACATTTGACATGCCTGTAGGCATGTCTCGATTGTCACAAAGCAGCAGATTCAAATGGAATATTCAAATGATAGTATGAGAAAATGTTCGAAAACACCCGGGGAAGCCACATATCCCCATTATCAGTGACGGGTGTGATTTTGTTCAGTGAAACATCAAAGTGAGACTATGTTTATTTAATTATTATTTTGAAAATTTATTCTAAGAATGTGACAGCATACAGTGAGACTTGGCAGTCGTTAAAATTAATCCCTGCACCTAGAAAACGGGAAGGAAAAGTTCTTAGTGTAGACTATTAATGATATTGTCTTTCTCTTGATAGCAGTTATGCAGCTTAACTTTTATGTGACGAAAACCTTGTGTTTCTAACAAACTTATGTCTTGTTGGAGATATGTGTCCACATCACCCAGTTCCCCTTCAGTAGTGCTTTCCTCATTAAATTTTTCGGGGTTGTTTGTGATTACCTTGTTAAATGAAGATAATAATAGTAAGTTAACTTACTAACAAGACAAATGATCGTTTTTGAAAATAACTTGTGCTTGAAACTCACCAAAGTAGTTGTGAACCATCGATTGAATAGTCGACCGGTTCCCATCCGGATCGACGTCTGTGTTCGTTAGTTCAATTTCCACTGAGTTATTTGGCTTAATACATAATATCTACCGACAACCCGGCTGCTTGCTACACCAAATACTTGTTTATTAGTCAAAACAATTACAACACACTCTTCTAGTTACAGGCTTAAGAAGTTTAAAAATGGGTTGTTTCTTAATCTCAATGTTCTAGTGTATTTATGAGAAAATGCAAAATTAACATACAAAAACATACGTAAGAGGGAATCAATCACTTCATTATTTGTGTGGCTTACAAAAATTAGCTTAGATGATATTTCTGCTATAGTGTTTGTGTTCATAACTAACCACGGACAATATTTTTCTATACAAGTAGAATGAAATGCTTTGGTTAGAAGACCTATGAATGTAAAACCCGTTGATGCATTATCCAAGAAATCTGAAATTTCCCCAAGCTTATTCTCAACTATTACCATATCATTAGGCTTAAATGAGGTGAATCAAGGATCTTTGCAAGGAATAACGTTTCTTAGAATCTTATGTGACTAATTTTATTTATAACAACGCAGACTTTGAGTTATAGCCTACTACTAACGATTTTTTTTGTACAACGCTGGAAAGCCTTTTTGGCTGCAGCTTATCCGCAGTACACTGTCCTTTTTATCCGCCTCTTATAAAACTCGAAAGGGTAAACTGAATATGAATCCAAAGTCCCATGTAGAAGAACATTAGCATCGTTATTCAACAAATAGATGTTATACAAAATGTGTTTTACACCGTAACGCCACTCATTATGTACATCACTTTTAATGGCATCAACGGAGTCGCCGTACACTCTGAGGTGAGATAATATAGATTTCTAAACACTTGAAACTTACGTGCAGAGGTGATGGTAAAATACTTTTAAGAACTGAAGATACTAAATAAAGAAGGGATAACCTGTATCACAGAAGAGTAGTGTTTGCAACAGTGTAGATGGTAATAGAAAAGAATGGTTGTGAAAGACACGGCTCGAAAACTAAATGAAGATCAGCAAAACAAAAAAAGAAGTAATATAATTCGTAAACTTATGATTTAAGGGAATATAGATAGTAGATTTACCCACTTTCTAACCATTAATCATTAAATTCACACGAACCTTAACTAGGTAATCTGCACCTGCCTACATAACTCAATTCAGCCGTTATTGTCTTCACGTATTGATGCCATGTCATGATTTGGTTTCTCCTAGCTTTGTCCCAAGCTACTTTAATAACCATGAACGTCGTGATTCTTAAAAAGAAACGTCACGCAAGATGCGACATTTTGTTTAAAACTTGGGTAGTTTGCTTAGCACAATACGATAGACTTAACTATAGGTGTGATACGCTTGTTCATATTTTCAGGTCTTTTGTGGGATAAGGCCAGCCACAACAAATTTTTACGCTGCACCTTAATCATACCCATATGAGTAGTGTTTCAAGGGAAACCGTACACCATACCAATAAGAAATAATTAGAAGTTAGGATTTCCATGATAATGAATAGTTTGACTCTGCGAATAAATAAATCACAACCTCTACTGACAGATGACGAAAATAGGCGAAGCGAATGAAGACGCCACGAACAAAAGGAACATTATTGTAAGAGAGCACAACATTCCCACCTCCTTTCTCTCCCACTAAACTCCTTTTTTTACTACTTCCTTTTGGCACTTTGGGGTGTCAATGGCATACATGCAACACTAGTGTCAGAAGAGTATTATCTGTTCACTGGATTAAGTCGACAACTGATTACTTTAGTTGCTCTTTATGCGTACAACAACTCATATAAGAAGCGTTTTGTGATGTAGTATCTAGTTCTCCCATATCAATTCTCTTTCGTCTTTTTTAGGCTGTCTGAAGATTATAAATAAGTACTTCTGTTTTCCAAACAATGTTTCCTGACGCCTTATAAATCAGTTAGTTTAGGAATTACTTCTTAGAAACAATTTACAATTACCACTTCTTAACTTGGCTACTAATAATCCAGAGTTCCCATTAGTGGAATATATGTTGGGATCCGCTTTGTGGGTTAGTAGAGGTTCTTAAAACAAACGCACTGAAATGCAGTGATCGTATCAGGCTTGAATAGAGCTATGTATCACAGCACCGGGTTAGCTAATAATGACTTTATATATATCGTATATTGTTTAAAGTAGAAGCCTGTAAAGGTCCCATTTTCTTGTGCAAACACTAAAAGCCTTTATGCTGATGACGATTGCAAAAACAAGAAATTGTTTTTGCAACTTGTTTTTGGTTTATATACAGTGAGCTTTGTATGTACCGAAGGATACAAAAGGAAAATACTCTCCCGGATATTAGCACTCTTTAAATAACATCTTCAAACCTAATCTTTGCGACTACTGCTTATACTCTTACCGCCTCTACCACTACGGGATTTTAATCGACAACTGCATCTTTGTGCTAATGTGGTGTGGCAACTCGAACTGATGTACGTACGTACGAAGTTCTACGTTGTTACTGACTAACTGAGCACTTACCATTGCTTTTATTGTTTATTTAATTTCAGAACATTCACAATGGTAATTTTTCGCTATTACAAATGCTTTAAGTACTTCAGTCTGAGCTCCGCGTCGCTGAAATATCTGAAGATACTGCAGATAACCTAAAAAAGTTCAAATTTCGAAAATCCCAGAACACAGTTGCCCTCATATGTTGTCCCTTGTTTATTAAGTGTTAATCAGTATCATGTTGTAGTGAAAATTGATAAAGAAGCTTTGAAAATCGAACCAGAACAAATACTTGAAGTCAGTTTATTTTATATGCTTAAAGAATTTCCCAATTTAGGATATTACACTTAACAATCTCAAAGATTCTTTACCGTACCATCAACCAAGATATATTCTTTTAAGTTACCGTTATGAAAAGGAGGATGGTCGAGTAACATTTCCATACTGTCTATTATTTTCAACTCCAATGGGTATGTGATTGTATCGAATGGGTTTTTTTAATTGTTCTTAATTGATTATGGGTAGGAAACTAAATTGTCTTCTACAGAATCAGAAATGCGACTTGTGTCAAAGCATCATTCTAATTACTTCATTGCCTACTTTACTAACTAACTTGTCAAAGAATAACTAAGATGTATCTATCTCTCGGTCCTGGGGTCTGGACACGTAATCCAGGTATTCCAGCATTACACTGGGGTAAAAGAGAGCCGAGTTCATAACACATATCCTGAATACTACATTCGTTCAGACTTAATCACTTTCACCGTGTACCTGCAGAAATCTTGGGATAGTGTTCTTGTCGAGCTACAATTGTGCCGACAGGCTTCAAGAAGCACTTGCTTTACTACAACCACACATGGGATCCCTAGAAATATTTGCTTTAAATTTTTGTGGCTGTCTCTCATTATTATGGGCTTTAGAGATCAGTGATGCTAAAGGATGGGTCAGTTAAAAGGACCTAAAGATACTATATATATAGTTTATCCGTTTGGATAGAATATTGATTTAAGCCTACACATTATTAAAAACTTTATAGGTTCTGCTACTAACCTGAAGATGATGTATACCACAAGTCTTACAAATCTGATGCATAAAAGCGGAGTTACGAAGGTAAGTATTGAGGTTCAACATACTATATCTGACCTCTTAGGTTTTTGAGCTCAGAGACCTGGAAGAACTTTCGGATGAATGGTTACAAGAAAACCTGGATCGCACAACCTGAGTTAATAAATTGACCTTTAGATCCAATTTTGTTAATTTTTTTACATAAATTGAAATCCATGTTATATTTTATTCTCTTGTATCATGACGCGGAATATAGAAATAGATTAGAAGTAAAAGTACACGCTGTAACAGAAACCTATTTATTTGGTAAGAATATTTCAGTTACCAAGCTTCGTTAATTACTTCGCAAAACTTTTCTGCTCGATGCCAAAAACTCCTTATGACTATCCAGTGTATGGAATCAATCGTTAAGTGGTTATCATACATGATGCTTACTCCTATACTTTCCCCCAGTCAGGTTTCATAAGTAGTAGTCCCAAAAGCTCTCCGTAATTTGTTACTTAGGATTTAAAATATCCAAAAGAGAGATATAAAGTCTTCCTCAATTAGTATTTAGTTCATTTCATGCTGAAATATATACATTTCTGTGTAATATTTTGACGTAATGTTATCATCCAACTAGTGAGTTTTGCTTGCTTAAAACAAGACTTTCGTCGCATAAATTTAAATTTTTACATGCAAATTTACACATAAATGACCAATTTTAGCGAAACTATAAGTCTGCTTTAGCACATTTCTGCTTTGTTGCTCTCTATTTTTATCACTTACAATTAAGGCTTCAACGAAAACCTAAATGACTTTACATTTTATGCCCAAGTTTGAAATTAAAATGGGAGCCTTTCGTCAAGTCTGGTTCGTAAGAAATGAAGTCAGCTTACGGTTGCTTGACAAACAAAAGAAATACAGGCTTAAAAGTGAGAAAACTAGTTTATCCAAGAAGAGTCAGTGGTTAACAAGGGAACACATATATACGTGATACTATACTAAGCTCAGTAAAAAGTTTGTAAGGGACGTTTTAACACTTTGCGGAGACGAACTTTAAAATTTATTTTAACACACATATTGGCACAAGGAGGCAGCAAATACATATGCGCCACACAGATCTCATTTGATATGTGTAAGGGCTGTGACACTGCCCGGGTGCCCAAACCGAGGCAGGTGGTTTTCTCAGGGGACCACACGCGGGACCTTCGACCTGATCCACAAGGCAGTGGAGTAACGTAAGGAGGTGCATTCCCATAGAAGCCGGTGACCAACGATTGGTTCATACGCCATTTGTTCCTTCAGGATACTGGAGCCCATGTGCACCATTGGTTTGGAATCAGGGTTTTCCAACTCCCCTAGGTGGAGTCACCGTGTCCACCAACCCGGTTAAAGCGCCGGACATTCGGTTTTCGTCCTCTCAATTTAGTAAACAACCCCGCCACGAGAAGGCAATGAGTAGGACTTCCCTGGCAGAGGCTATATACACGTGGCTATGTGAGAGCATTTCGAGAGGTAGAGCGGACTCTCCTCACTCTCGGCCGTACCAGGGCATTTGGGGGCCAGTTATACAAACACCTATGTAAAATGGGCAGTTAATTGTGAACCCGCTAATAAAGAAAAATCCAGCGAGGAATAAATGTAACCTTAATACACCAAGAAACTCATACCAAAACTTACTGAATTTCATACAGCAACTGGGTAGTAACTCAGTTGTCAGGCGGGAGATGAATTTCGAGTGGAAACATCACAGCAAGCGGATTTCGGTCTTTTATCTGGATAGGGCTTATGGAGATCTCACTATGATTAATACGATTACATCTCTAAAGAAAAGTGACTAGACGTTTTCAGAAAGTGAGATGTTTACTGCAATAATTCAAATATAAGTATCACCGCGCTTTATATTACATAAACACAGTTTACTCTAAAAACAAGCAGTAGATCGAATAGCGTCATTGAGCGATTACCATATTAATGACAGAACAAAGAAAAATCATATTTACAGGATTTCTAGTCAAATAGTTAACGCATTCCAGCTCTAGCTTTCTTCTTTCTTGATAAGTTTCTCAGTAAGCTTGGTGTGACTCGCTTAACGTCTCCATACCTCCCGGAATACGAAGAGGAATACAATTGGTTTTTTCGAAAACTGTCACATCTTTGACGAGCCGTGTTTTCAATATTTGCGCTATCCAGTATTCGAACATGAATCCCATTCAACCTGTTTATTTTTTTCCATGACTTGTGATTTCGTGTTTCAAAATCAGATCCCTTGGATTTCAAGGTGTTAATTGTAAAAGAATCAATATTGTCAAAAAGTATTGTCTTTGATTTATTCTTATCGTGCTCTTCACTGCCATCATACCCTTCATCGGACTCTGAAATGAATAAGTGAGTTTTATGAAGAGTGTAACTATCAGCAGAAATAATACCATATATATTCTATTAACTGCGTGAGGCTTAGTAATAAAGCTGCATTATAGGTGGACCAGACTTCAGGTTTATTTGCTTCAAGTGGTATGAACTTAATAGAATTATCGTATTGTGGTCGACTTTTATTCTAATCAGCTACAGGGTGTCCCATACAGACACCTAACGGTATTCTTAATGACCTTGGTCAAACTGATGAAGACAAGTGTGAAGCTAAAACAAAAGAGGAACCAGATGCACATTAAAAGCCTTGGAAAACGTCAACCACGTAGTACTGTATACCTCACTAGTATGGTTTTAGCGAAAATACGTCGCTAATAATAGGAACAGTTTGCTGGAGATATTGCCAGATCCCCTGGTGAGTTTGTATGCAAGTCATGAGCACAAAATTATCAGAGAATTACAATTACTATCCACGAATTTGGTTTTTGCTCTACAACTCAACCAGAAACAAGACTAACTACTCATTACCACGAATTGAGTAACCAAATATGAAAATAAACGTAACTATTGTGTGAGGATAAACATAGTGTTGATACATTTGCACGTCACGGTAATAAGATCATTATAAATTGCTACATTAGGTGGAATGAAATCTAGGACGAATTGTTAAACCTTACAGAATACGTACTAGTGAGATTGTTTGTCTTAAGTATTACCGTAAACACTGCGTCAAATGTACTATTATGAAAATGTTATTGATATACTACATGATATCGTTAGCTAGAATACTAATAAGCTAAACATATATAAATTAAGGCATGGTATAAACAATTATCATCCAGAGTTACACACCCAAGTCATAAGACACGATTAGAAGTGTAGTTTCTTGTGATAACTGTCAATCTAACACCGCTTTTAGGTACGTATTTTAGCACGCGATTCATCCTACTGAAGTTTCTGACAGATAGGAAGAGGTGAGTCTGGGGAAAACTGTATGACGCGACTCAAACATAATTGAAAAGTTCACATCTTAAAAATCAATCATTGTTCAGGGATAGTAACTTGCCGTTGCCGTATAGTAGTTCATTCTCGTTCGGTGAAGAGCTGGCTGATATGTCCAAGGATTGAGATTTATTTTGTATGGGAGGTTGATCACCATTGTCTTCACCAAATTGAAGATGATCTGATGTGTTAAAATATCCCGGACAGTTAAATTCTTCTTCTAGATAGTCCTTTTCCTTAATATACGTATGTATATGATGGAAGTGACAAACTTACATTTGACTTTTCCTTATCCTTCAGCGGTATATACTAATTTTCAAAAGACTATTACATAAAACGCATAAGACTTACTTGGATTTCTTGGCAAGCTATTTCACTAGACTGGCAGCCGTCCTAAAGTAAAATATAACAAACCGCATTGAACATTACTGTTTGTTTGCTTACATTACGTTTAGCTCTGCGGAGTGCTTTGGTTTTTATGCGATTTTCAATAATAGTCTTATTAATTTTTCTCTGGTGGATTTCACGTTGCTTAGCTTGATCAGTAAAACTACACGACACTGGAAGATCCATTTCAGCTTCTTCCATATCTTCTTTATCTGAACTAATAGACTGCATCTGCAAAGGATCAGTGAGACGACAAAATGTATTATTTGAATAGGATTTTGGTGAGTAATTTAGAATATTTGTAGTATGGGTGCTAAAAAAATAGTCTCTACATTTGTTGCCGACGAGCGGCAATCAGCATACGTGAAGCAGAAAAAAAAGCCGATTGATAGGAAGCTTTGTAAACTCTCTAGGCTTTATTCCGACACTATTTAGTGGTTCCAGAGCACACTAGCATTGTTTTGATGACATGATGTAATGCCTAATTATTCGATCCTTTAAGACTGTCTCACAGCAACTGAGTAGACAATTGGTAACCAACTGTACCTTGTCTGGGCTATATATGCATGGATATACTGAGGTTTTATAAGCTGACCGGTTCATATGATCAGTGTAGAAGGGCAAGTAGTCACTATTTTAAATCAACTCAGCTATATAGAAACATTGTGATATAAGTATTTATTGTTTCGAGTTTCTACAAATTAGAATAGATAGGAAGCAGTAGTAAAATGTATGAAGAACAGTCTAAAGTACTCGGAGGTTTTAGCACATAGAGGCGTTTTACTTAACAAGGCTAGAAGGTTTTTGGAAAGATATATCGTTCGGTGAGTGTATGAATTATAATCATAAAAATATTTGGCAAACATAGGCTATAAGGCGCTGATGAATCACACTAAATGTAGTAAACGCCTAAGGGCAACCCACTTTAAGCTACAAGCGATGGACTAGTCTTCGTAGTAACAATCCAGACGCGTTTCCCTCCAGGTTGTTTGTATGGGATATGTTACACGGAGCCCAGTTCGTTGATAATAAGACTAACAGAACAACTGTTAGCATTACAATAGCATGAGCTTGTATATACATTTTAGTACTAAATCGATGTGACAGTAGTCAAGTATTTCATCAACCGACTAGCATTTTTAGTTGCCTCTCCATTTCCAAAGCCAAACATTCAGCATATCTACGCAACTATCAGTCTTTAAAAGGCACACGTTCCAATGGGTGATCGCAACTCTTCAGAAATTGCAATAGGTCCTAAGAAGATATCCTTGTTTGTGAAGTTAAACCTATGTACTAGGTGTTGTCCCAATCGGTGAGCGGCTAATTATGTTGTTGGCGAGACTATAATTTAAGGACGAATCAATCAGATTTACGATAACAAGTCGTAGATTTTGGCGCGAAATTCACTCACCCATTTGGCTAATTAGAGTTTTGGCAGTATAGCTGATGTCAATTCGTGACGAAAACCCTACATCTAATTCCTGACCTAAACCATCAACTGTAAATCATAATCCCTATTCTTCAAATTGCTTTATAACCCTCATTTAGCCCTAGTATGTAAGCGGACACTCAAGGTTAGTCTAGCGTCGCTCCAATGTCATCCATAAATTATAGTCTCACCAAGCAATCTTATGAAAACCCGAACCGCGATCAGATCATATTCGTTTAGGATAATCATTCTACGTCAAAGTGCCTAACACCTCTTACAGAATCACGAAGGGCAGCTAATACTTCAAGCTGGCAATCTACTGAGGTTACATGAAACTTTCAGATGTGATGTATTAAGGGAACTCTCCGAAGTGTAGTACCAGACTACAAAGACTTTAAACATATATTTCTAGAATGTGGCACAAAATAAAACCAGTAGCGTGATTAAGGATTAGACAACCAAATACTACTGTAAGAGCTAAACACCTATCTACACTTCGGCTTGAATCCAACACACTCATAGTCTAATTTCTAAAAAGATTTTGAATCCAAATTGTTTTCATTGCCAAGTTGCACAATTACGCTATTCTGTGCAACAAACTCATAAAAACGGCAGTGGCAAATGTACGACAACCTAACAAACAACCTTCACCGTGAAGTTTGCGCGCGTAAATATTACATTAATTGACCTTTGTCTCTCGTGTGCATAAACAAAGGCTCTTCAAGACAAAGTAAAAGAAGTAATACATGTTTTCGATGTTCCTGTGTACAGGAAAACTCTTGGTTAAGTGATTTTTACGTCAGGAATTTAACTAGTAATCACCTTAAAATATATGGTTTTCTCAGAATAACAAAATAAGTCTAGAGATTAATAATGTATCAAGTTTATCAACAGGACATAGTAGCTAGTTTGATAAGAGCGACCATGCAGTAACAAGGAACATGACTCCGTCAAATTTACCTAGATGCCATATAATCTCATAAACACGGGATTATTATCTAAAGCAAATGAATATCAAAGATTTTGATGAACTAGATTGTCTGTCTTGTAAGCAGCGTCTGATTAAGTACTATGGTGTGAAGACTTCGGAATATGATTATTTTTCTTCTGAATTAATGATCTTAGTTATCGGTCATCCTCAGTTTTGTAGTATGCAGAAGATATGGGTATACAAGCAGCAAAACTGGGCGAACAGATTAGTGTGAAGCTTCGAAAACACTGATAAAATGGGCTGACATTTAGTGACCTACAATAAATTTCTCCAATTTTATAACGGCATACACTGATCACAAAGTTACCTTAGCTTTTAATTAATTTTTATTAACTCAGATAGAATGTGACTAGTGAGACATTTTTGACCAAATCGATCATATATTGAGGTCCATCCAAACTGAAGTTATTCTATTTTTCATACAAAGAGATTGGAAATCGCTTATTCACAGTCTCCATACAAATCATCATTTCTCCTGAAACTCTTGCTTCTACGAGGAATTTATGAGTGCATTACAAAAACTTTTAAAAGCCTAGATCTGAATAATTTTGTCATTGACTATCGTTTCTATAATTAAACCCTTCACTTCAAAGCACGTGTATGGCGCTTGTCGAGATGTTAAAAAAGATATCGAGCCACACGAATGAGCACTATTTCAGGATTAATACAGGTCACTGAATTCGCGGCATATTCGTTACGAAACTTGCTAATTCAGCATATTGGCGACGAAAATTCAACAACTTGACAGAACGTGCACTGTGCCATCCTGAATAAATTCACCAAACAAGTAATATTTGTATTCAACAACGAAGTATATATTTGACAAAAATTTCCCCAACTCACCAAGTCCTTAAGTTCCACGTGCGTCTGTCTATAACGATCGTGACAAAATAACCATTTATGTACACATATTCAACACTAATTAAGCTCATCAAAGGCATGAAATGGAAACAGTTAATTTTTAAGGAAGAGATGTCAAATGCTTACAAAACGAATCGTCAGTGAAGTTATTAGTTCATGTAAAAAAGATGTGGCAAGTAGTTCAAACCAGTAACCTTAGACAACCAACTAATGATGTCTGAATGTGAAACCAGATTAGAAAGGCGTTATATCGTTCTTGTTTTAACAGTAACAGTAAAGATTATGGTCTAACGAAAAATTGTGAATGCACATTAGTGAATATTTCACAAGACGTCCTTTATAATATAAACTGGACTAGTATATACACACTAATTAACACCATCTATGTATGTGTTTTTATACTGAAACAGTTAGAGTTCCATTTAGTTTTAGCTTAGCATCACTGGCTATGTTTCATATATACTTTAAGTTAGTGCACCTAAATGTTGCGCAATTTTTAAGCTAGAGTTCTACGTAAAACTGTTCGAAATTGAGAGAATGCTTATCCTTAGTTTTCGAGCTGAGAAACATTTATGAAAATTTCTGTCAGTAAGAAATCGTGGCACTGACAGATGAACAACTCATTAGGCAGCATTTACTAGGATGTAACAATAAGAAACGAAGGATATAATTACGTTTCGGAGGAACATTAAAGATCTCAGAATACCCTGTAGATCAATGCAAAAATAACTGTCCGATGTCTCTGTTGTCTGATTTTAATGCTCTGTATTTTCTCGTGCTTTTATTAAAAGTGGAGAGAGCGAAAAAACTTTCAGTCTTGATTCATCTAATAAACATGCATTTGCTTTCAACACTGTTATTCAAACTATTAGTTCAAGTTTCCATATGCACCTTTCAAAAATGCATCATTCACAAGCAGTTTTTTATACTCCACGTCGACTATAACCTGTGGAGGAACTGTGGAGGAACTAGTCCAGTGTTGCACGCGCTATATTCATGAATCGGTGGTCAATTCGTCGAATATGGTTAAACTCAGTGCACCGCTCGAAGATTATATTAAAATGGGAAGCTTATTTTCGACGAACTTCAGCAAAGTGAAGTTCAAGGATTCCCGTGATCACATAATTGAAATGAACTGTAAAGTTACAAAGTCAGATCACTCAGTCGCTTTCTAGGTACTAAAGATCATTAGTTTTAGGGGGCCTAATTAACTGAAGAACTCTGATCAAGAAATGTCAAGTTCTTCCGTAGCTGGATTCTTGAAGTATTAAAAGTGATAGTATGGAACTCCTGAAAAATGAAGTCTGTCCAAATCCCTTACAAGGGTTGTAGCCAATGAAATTATGCTAACACAATTCACCTGTAGCGGTAACTAAATTCACTAAATAAATAGTCAAATAAGTCTGCGACAGTGAAGCTGGATACGTTAGTTTGAGTAGGCACACCCAAACTGAAGGCACTCGGTTACGCATCAGCACGCCGTGATGTGCATTTCCCCCAACTACTATCCAGATTAGGTTAAACTACTCCCAACATATTGACAACCTTCCACAAACATCTTCAAACTCATTCATTCCTGACTTCTGATTTTACCGGATTGGTGTTCTTCCATCATATGGGCGCTACAAACGAAAGCTTTATGAATAACTGAAAATCTGTGACGGCTTTACAATCACAGATAGATTATTTTCAGTCTAGTTGTGAACTACACCGAGCAAAACCATTTGAGTTGTTTAGAGCATATATCGTTCGAAATCTGTATCAGAGATTCACGCATTTTAATAAAATAACCGGTAATGACTCTAGGAATTGTAAATTGCAAGGTAATGGATAGTATCGCTTCTTTCAGATTTGCAGTTTTCTGACAAGAACTTTTGTGTGAGTTTTTCTCAGTATAGGATTCAAGGACGGGAGGACCTATGGCGAAGGGATTCGCATATCGCAATATTTCATTGCATCTAATCTGAGCAAAAGCACACTTTTTATCTCGAAGGAAATACCTTATTCTTTGATTCCGACTGTAGCTGTTCCAGAGGTACTGCCAGTGACAAACACAGCTAGAAGAAAAGGATTTGATCATGAAGTCAGAAACCTCATCAAGTAGGGAACGACCTTGACAAAAATGCGCCAGATTTAGAATGCAAAAAACCTCGTTTGAAGATATCATGGAACAATATGGATTGACTAGGAGAAAGAAACGAGAATGATGACAAATTTGCAAATTTATGTGCATTCTATAAAATGATTATAGTTAGTACTATATTCACCCACAAGCGTACACACAGCTACGTGAGTCTCACAGAATCACATTTCAGACAATCAAATCGATCATGCTTGTGTCACTGAAAAATTCAGAAGCTCAATAGAAGACGTGAGAACCATGAAAAGAGCTGTCGTGACTTTGGATCACAACCTGGTGATTGCCAAGATGAAATTGATGTAAAAGAAGGACTGAACAACTAGAGAGACAGCATTACTGAGCTACAATACAACCTTCAATCTACATACTGACAAACTCGATGAATTCAAGATAGCGTTCAACAACAGGTCCCAAGCCGTACAAAATCTACTGGGAGAAGAAGAAACGTCTATGGAGGACATTCCGAAAGGGATCGGTAGAGATGCACCATCCTCTATTCAAGGCAGTTTGGAAGCTGCAGAAGTAGGACTCAACATACACAAAGGAAAAAGCAAGGTCCTAAAGTACAGAACAGATCACGAACACAATCGAACGTGACAAGCGAGCTCCGGAAGTGGTGAAAAGTTCAATGTACCTAAACAGCATAATAGATAAACAGAGAAGATCTGTGTAGATATGAAGGCCGTGATGGGCAATGCAAGATCAACAGTCCTACGGTTGCAGAACATATAGAAATCAAAACAACTGACAACCAGCACCAAACTCAGAATTTTTAATACGAATGTCAAGACAGTTATATGGTATTGGGCTGAAACTTGTAGAACTACTACAACCATCATCAAAAATGTATTAGTATTTATAAACAATTGTCCACTCAAGATACCCAATGTTCTTTAACTGGATACCATCAGCAACAGTCTACTACGGGGGAGGTCAAACCAACTCCTGAGTATCGTTCAGTTACCTTCTCATACACCAATAATACAGACAAGATACGAGTAGGAGATGTTCAAAGACACTTCACACGTCGACTGCAAGAGCGAGACTTGTGGAATTGTGGCCTAGTTCGCTATTAGTACTGCTATAATGATAGACCCAATCCCATAATTTTAGATTTGTCATGATGTGGATGCCTGATCTATAAAATCTTACATGGAAGTCCTATGATTGTCTTCACTGGCTCATCCTATTGTGATAAGGGCTTCTGAAAAACACATCTAGGCTGGAGATAGAATAATACATTTAATGTAAGTAAAGTTCAGTTATACAGAATGACCATATCTTCGAGGCTAAGTTATGCAATCCAACTCAATGAGTGAATTATTCCGGCGTTCACCATTGTTGGCCTTGTCTCTGTGTTAAATATTGAATGTCTATTTTCCAAACTGTCTCATGTTCGGCTTTGAAGATGATGTGGTTAGGCCCAATACCACTACACATCCCAAATGCCATATGCAACCCATTACGACGAAGTTGGACCAAAGGGTACAACTTATGCGCCAGAAACCGCGAAATCGAAATAGTCATGTATCTCCCTGTCCGAACATGGTTCACTCTGGTCCGGTGAGGCATAGCACTTGAACAATTAAACCACCTCTTGATCCAATGTTCTCACCTTCACCAAGCCAGGGAGTGGTTTCGGATAGTTGGAGGCTGGAACACATGAACCTGATCTTTAAAGGTGTCC